GCGAGGGGGGGGGGGGGCGTGCGGCAACAAATGAGGACTGGCTCAGCGTCATCTCGCAATGCGTGGCCCTGGCCCGGTACCCAACAGTGCAAATTGCAAGCGACAGGGCGTCAGTCAGGAAGCAACCCAGGCGGGCCACCAGCGCTAGGCCCGTCTGGGACGGGCGACGTCTAGCATCCACCTCTCGACTAACATGCAAACCTATCCATGCGCCAGGCGTGCCTTCCTCCACATTGAGCCGGGAACAAGGGCCTTGCCTAACCCGACCACGCAACCAGGAAGTAACGACAAGGGAATGGATTGCCTCTGGCACGCTTTGGTGAAATGCCTTGGTGGATGCGGGAGGCTTTTCTCACCTTCATCACCCCGTCAAGTCAAGCAAGCCAAGGTCCAGCCATATTACCTCTTAATTGGCCAGTCCATGACCTGCTGTCGTCCCTAAGCCTCCATCCAGAGCTTTTGTCTTGCACGACCGACCGCTCGCCGAACCCGCCTGCCTGCCTCGGCCCTCGCAGCTCACGCCCACCAAGTGATCAAACCAAGCACGAGCTGCCGTCACCAGAGAGCCCGTCACGGACCGAGACTGACGATCCTGGAAGCCGCAAAGCAAAAAAAAAAAGAAGAAAAAAAGCACTAAAGCAAAAAAGCAGCAGCTCCTGCCTGTCTGTCTGTTCGACCGGCTCGACCCATTCTTTGACCTGCTGCATAGGCGGACAAAAGCTTCAGGCCCACGCTCGTTGTCTTTGTTGTGCCACCCAGCTCCGCAGCAGGAGAGTTTCTGCCGCCAAAGTTGCTTCTCCCCCGTCGGGCTGGCTCCGCTATCCCGGGCAACTAACTCCTCGCCTGGCTGTCGGAACATGCCTCGCTGCTTCTGAGAGCTTGGGATGCACTGGGCCTGCTGCCCGCCTGTGACATATCTAGGCGGCCGTGGTAGACTCCCGAGCCAAACGACGACTCTCCTCAAGCCTGCACGACGTCGAGTTACCGAACGCCACCTCAACAACCGTCGGCTCATCCCCTCAGGCCACCCCTCCCCATTCTTGACGCCTGCACACGATCAGGCCCGACAGATTCGAGCTACGAGCCACCCGCAGCATTGCATGCCCGCACCACGGCGGCCCTCATGTATCCTGTCGCCGGCTCGCGCTCGTCCGCCTCTCAACCATTTCCTCCTCCCACAAACCTCTGCCTCGCTCAACCGTGGCCACCCGTTCGTCTGCCCTCGATCCCGTTCCCGAAGCTCGACCGCCCGGAAGCCACCGCTCACGCATTGAGCGGCCTTCGGACACCTCCGCTCGAAGAAATGGGAACCACTTACCACGCCCCGAACCTGGCGCCATACGAGGCCCACCCCCATGCCTCGCTGCCGGGGTACTCGGCCTCGTTGGCCCAAACCGACAGGACTCGCTCTACGCTGCGCGATGCTCACGCCGTGCTGGATGGGTATTCTCGCTATCCTCCCCAGCCCCAGCATGCGTCCGGACGGCCCATGCTGCAGATCCCCCAGATCCAGCCTCAAGCACCATCGCAACCACATACTCATGCCAATCAGTATCGCCCGCCACAATCGGCCTCGGCTGTCTCACGGTCTACGATGTCTTCGGGTTCACATCCGCCATCACAGTCCGGTTCCTTCTCGAGCTCACATCCCGGCACCCCAAAATCGACACGCTCGGCTGCTTCCCAGGGCACAATGTCACGGAAGGATGTCGCCAGCCTGGCCGGCCAAAGCTTGGACATACCAAAATGCATTAGCACCAAGGGTGGGAGGCTGGCGGACCTGGCAGCGCAGGTAGGCGGACAATTCCTCTCGTCGTTGTGCGACTGCCATTGATCGATCGGACCACTGACTGACTTCACCAACAGTTGACATGCTTCTTCTGGTTCGAGGCGCGCGCTATCCACCAGCTCGCTGAGAAGTTCGAGACTCTGCAAGGCACCGAGCCGGTTCGCAGACTCACACAGCATGCCCTGCCGTCACAAAACTTCAAGGCATGGGTCCATGGGATTCTCTCGACGACCCAGGTTACTCAAAATGTTGTCATTCTTGCCCTGCTGTTCATCCACAGGCTCAAGGTGGGAAACCCGAATGTCAAGGGCAGACCGGGCAGCGAGTATCGCCTTCTGACTGTGGCTTTGATGCTTGGCAACAAATGTATGTGAACCCCACCCACCCTGGCCAACCAAACAAGCTGCGCCCAATCACAAAAAGGTTCTAACACCTGGCCAAATCTCAGTCCTTGACGACAACACATATACCAACAAGACCTGGGCAGAGGTGTCGGGCATCTCGGTCCAAGAGATTCACGTTATGGAGGTGGAGTTTCTGAGTAACATGCGGTACAGCCTCTTGGTATCAAAGGAGAGATGGGAGGAGTGGCTCGTTAAGATGGCCAGGTTCTGGGAGTACTGTGAGGCGGCCACAAAGCCCATCTCACCCATCGCAATCCCGTCACCCACCCATTTTCCGACCGCTACCTCGCCCATTGCATCACCAACAAGCCATCTGCTGCTTACCCCTAGCATCCACTCGAATCCGCCGACCACGACGAGCTACTCCCCCAGCTACGCGGCCCCCAGCCAGCCGGCTTACGCAGCGGCCTCCCAGTGGCATGCACCTCCGAATCGCCCGTCGCTGTCTCCCTTGGCAGGGAAGCCTGATGTGAGGAATGGGTATTCTAAGCGGCCACTCAACGACGAGGACCCGACCGAACCTCCTGCAAAGCGCGTGTCTAGACAGCCACAGCCTCTGCCCCACCAGGGTCTCGCTCTTCACGGCCAGCAGCGGCCAATATCTTCCGTTGTGCCGCCCGAATCTCTCAGGCTACCCACTCCCAACCTCACCCTCAACACAACTCAGCAGGTACCATCGGCTGCCTACAACTCGGGGACAAGCCACGCCCCTGCACAGCAGTCTGCCCTCTCGCTGCCACCCTTGGTTCCGGGGGTCAGGGCTATGTCGACTGTGTATCCGCCCACGTCGACGGGCTATTCGCCAAATGTCATGGGCACCTCTGGGTCCATGTCCCAGTCCGTGGCCCCACCGGTTACGACTCCAGTCGCCACTTCAGCTCCGTCTGCCTTCCCACCCTCGACCAACTACGGGACACCGACTAAGCGCCACAGCCCGGGCTCGTTGACTCCTGCTGCTGCTGCCGCATTGGGCAACTCGTCTCCCCTCGCTGATTCGTTTGCCCATGGTCATGCGGGAGTACACGCGCCCATCTCGCACTCGCCGTCGGTTTACTTGCAACACCGTGCAAGCCCGTACCGGCCTGTTCGTCACGTCAACACCCTACTCTACCCGCCGCCTTCTGCCAGCCTTCACGAGTACCATCTCTCCGGCTCAGGAATGATCCCGCCCACGCAGATGCACTACCAGCCTCTTGGTCGCAGGAATGAGTACCGCACAGGTATCGTGCCTGAGTTCACCTTGACGGCCCAGCAACAACAGCAGCAGCAGTATGCTCGGCAAGGCGGGTCTGTGACGCCACTTTTCCCTCCCACCACGCCCTCCCACCAGCAGCCGCAGCCACAGATGCGCACTGTGCTGGGCCCAGGCCAGACCCACGACCACGCCCAGCATCACATGCAGTATCCGAACTAGGAGAAGCGAATTCTGCTTGCGAAGCTGGGGCATATGGCCACCCAGGATCTGTTCCATGGGCTTGATCGCTATTCGAATGCGCCGCCACTCGGATAGACGTGGGGCCCTCTGCGGCTTCTCTCTTGTCGGCCAATTCATGATTTGACTGGCCCGACGACACCATCACTTTGGGGAACCCCCATGATTGTTACTTTACATTCTCATGTATTATTTTTACGAGACAATTTCGGCGTTTGGTTCATTTTACGGCCTCTAGAGACCTACATCCCTCGTGAGTACAGGGACTGGGTTGACGCATAGCATTGCATTGTCGCGGAGTTTTGGTCCTGGCTTTGGTTTTCTCTACATATATCGCCCTGCCCGTGGTGTAGCGCGGCCTTTTGCTTTCTTTTCATTCTTATTTTATGCTCGGTCACGCTCCGTGACCTGACGAGGAAGCGGTTCCAGCTTTGGACACCCACCCTTGGTGGTAACACGGGTTTGATGACCTAGCGGCGTAGGCGGTCTGGCTTTGCCCAGAAGAGCTCCTCTCATGAGGAGGGAACTCGTCCGGGCCCTTCTGGACGGCTCATTTCAATCGATTACTCGAACAATCTACGAGATCCCCTCCATCTTATGCGCTCGCTATTTTTGATCCGCCTGCTTTGGAACTGTTCTCCCCTCTGCTGGGCGCCCGTTGCCAGGGCACTCCACTGTTGTGCCTGTGCGATATACCTCGAGCGCTGTTGAGTTCCGTGTCAATTTATCCCCATAGCCTGAGATCCGGGGCTCATATCGCCCAGTTTTCTGAACCATGCGGGGTGTCGACGCTGATTAAATGACGAGTGCGGGAGTTGACGTTCAGTCGGGCGCTTCATTCCCATCCATCTGATCTCTGCAGTACGTCGCCAGGCTTCCCATTTGCCGAGACCGTGGATTGGGTCCATACAGCAATTATCCATAGTCGTCCGCCCGCGTCACCCCCCACGCCCACACCGGGAGCTAGGCCATGTGCGGTATAATTGCAAAATATAGCAGAACAGTCGGCCGGCATGGCAGGAGTGAGTGCCGCTCCTTTTGTATAAATGAGCTTTCCATGCTTTGGCTCTCCCCTCTGGCGCGGGGTGCTTCCCGACTTGGCGAGTCCCTCTTGGGTTGCTTGTCTTTCTCCTTCAATTTTTTTTGACTTGTCATCTTCGAATCCCCCTGTTATCACTTGGGGAGAAAAAAGAAAGCTTGCCGTGTTCTCGATACCGATCACTCGAAGATAAGGAAGGCGCGAGCAAAAGAAAAACAAGGGTCATCATTCCCCCCCGCGGAGAACATGGTGCACATCCCGGACCTGGCGCTGGCGGCCGCGGCCGTCGCGGCGGCGGTGGGCGGCGGCATGGCGCAGCCGCAGCCGGTGCCCGAGGGCTACCGCGCCGTCTACATAACGTCGATGCAGAACGCCCGGTTTGTGGTGCAGCCCAAGACGCTGTCGGTTGGGAGCACGTTGGTCGTGTGAGTGGTGTTTTGTTCCTCCTGGCACCTTTTTCTTGTTCTCCGGTCTCGCCAGAATTGCGTATCCGAATGTCTAGCTGACCGCCGCCCCTCCTCCCTTCATCCTTATAGCCAGCCGCTCAGCAACAAGACGGAGCAGCAGTGGTACATCAAGGCCGGCGTGACCAGGATCCAGCTGGCCGAGACGAACTGGTGCATGGACGCCGGGGCCAAGGGTGAGCCGATGTCCCTTTCACCCTAGCCCTAGCCTGGGTAGAGGTGTGCCTTGAAAGCTGACGATAGGACTTGCTTTTTTTTCTTTTCGTTCCCTTCAGGCAACTGGAAGGACATGGCAAACATCAACCTCCGCGAGTGCTCGACGACCGAGGTTGGCCAGGTGTGGAACGCCATGGCGGATGGCAGGATCGCGGTTGACGCGTCGCCGAAGCCACGTATGTCCCTTCGGCTCTTTAGGGCTCCCACCGTCGCCTTCAATTACTCTCGCTTTTCTTCGCCTTTATTTCCTGCAACACGACTGCTAACCTCCCGGGCGGGGACACTGACGACAGAACAATGCATCGATCTCCAGTTCCTCAGGGCCACGGCCGGGAATCCGGTCGGTCTCTACTCCTGTGCCGGTCTCGGGAACACGGGGGCCAGAGACGCGGGAATTAACTGGCCCTTGGTCAACGTTACCAAGCCGTCGTGGATTCTTTAGCTGTCGATCCGCAGGGGACGGGAGGCTGGCAAAGAAGATATGGGCCAAGCCGCTGATGTCCCTTCTTTTTTTTTTCTTCTTTTATGTTTCCTTTGGCTTGTGGGTCATCCTCACTTGGGAGATGGAGGCAAATCGGGTTGCTCTGGCGCTGCGGCTCGGGCTGCAGCTCCCATTTGCTCTCGCCTAGCGGCACTGGCAGGTTGTGGCATTCGTCCTGCTGGCTTGGCGGGTTTGTATACGGGGGCTTGTGTCGACGAATGAGCGATTGCCAGCACTCTGGCCCGCGGCTACTCCATGGGCAGGGCGCTTGCTTAGGAGAAGATAAGTGCTAAGGCAAACTTGAGCTGGTATGATGGTGGGATAGGCGCGCATATATCCGCCGAGCGTGAACATGTACCCCACGAGCTAGGATCTGCACAACGCTGATATATTATACAATAGGGAGTTTCCCCTAGCGCAATCCCGAACCTGAATTTCTGCCCATTGGTATCTACCAGAGCTCGCCTACAGAAACCGGTAATCTTCCATGTGACTTGTTTCCAAAATAAAGCCCAAGCTACCTCTTCCCGCCCTCGAATCGCGCCCTTGCGCGTCTGAAACTGGCTTAGACTGCGGAGCGCCAACTACTGCCTCGGCGCCTGTGTCTTGTCTACCGTCCTCGGGCCTGGGTCTGCTATTTTCGAACTTGGGCGTGTTTTCCTCGGAACTGGTCCTGTTATTGTTTGAGCTGGCCCTGGTGCCCTCGAAACCAGGCCTGCTGTCCTCCGAGTTGCTTGGAACATGTGTCGCCAATGTCGGACCGTTTTGGGCGGTGTCAGCATCCTCGTCCGGTAGCTGTGAGCAGGTCCTCTGGACGGTACTGTCGAGGGTTGCCTGTGCGGAGCTGCCAGAGTCCTCTGCCCTATCTGAGGGTGCTGGCTTTGGCGCGGATCGAGATGTATCATCTGCGGGTTGCTCGGCATCTGCGCTTCCTTTGCCAGCTTCAGCACTGCTTGCAGAGAGGCCAGCTGATGCTATCTGCGCTAGGGCTTCTGCTCGGCTGCCCTCCGCTCCGTTTCCATCTCCGGATCCGTCGTTATCTCGGGCATCGGAACGTGGGCCAGACTTGGTTGCGGACGATTGATTGTTGATAGCGGCGGCCGACTCATGCTGCTGGGGCAATCTGGACGCGAACGCGATCGCAGTCGCATGGCCTGGAAGATGACTGGTGGTGCTGTCGTTGAGGTCGAGTGGTTGGATCTTGTTTGCGGCCACCCACGAAAACATCTTGCCCTTCTTTGGGATCGAGAGCTTGCCTTCGGAAGGCAGCCGAAGGTCACTGGTGAAAAACAAGAATGGGAATTTGCGCTGGGAAGCCTTTGTGCCACCGTCTTGGTGGTCCTCGTCCCAGCCCAGGATCTTTTTGGTTCGCGTGTGGGTGCGGTAGCACATAGGGACGTGACGCATCAGGTCTGTGTCGTGGATGGAGCCCGATATGCCCACTTCGTCGAAGCCGTCGGTCGGAAGACACAAGGCTATGAATGGGGTGCCGGAGCGGGTGCTGGAACGGGATTTCCCGCCGGTGGGCCAGTAGACTTGGTAGAAGACGCCACTGACAGGCTGGATGCTGGTCTTTGGGTCGCTGGTGAGGCGTCGTGGCCGGCGGACTGCGTTGTCGAGCTGTTCGACTGCGCGGTTGCTTTCGTTGACCTGCTCCTGCGTGCAGGTTTGCACGCGGAAGCCAAGCTCATTGATGGCGTTTTCGTGTGTCCCGGCCGTGCCATGGACCTTGCTGAGATGCTTGCCAGCTCCCTGGGCGGCGTCTTTGCTGTTGAAGATCTTACCGTGGTGGTCGCACCGCAATATGTAGAAGCGATGTGAAGCCGCTGGCCAGGGGATGATGCGGTATCGCCCAAAAACGTCCTCAAGGCTGATCGTTTTCTCGGTTCCGTCGTCCCTCGCCGCCCCGACCCCGCCCGCTTCCACACCGCCGGAGCCGGCGGCCCGCCTGTCTCTCCGATTCCTCTTTTTGGGACTCTCGAGATCGCTTTCCGCTTTTGTCGGTTTGCGCTTTCGAAGCACTCTTGGGGAGTTGAATGTTGCACTTACCGATCCGTCATGGTTGTCGCTATCCGACTCGCTCCCGCCCTGATCCGACCTGTCATCGTCATCTACAGGTTCGGCGTCGCTGTAATCTGACCTGTCGTCGTTACTCGACTCGCTGTCGCTATGGCCTGGTCTATTATTGCTGTCTGCAAGCTCATGTTCGCCATCTACCGGCTTGTCGCCACCGTCGCCCAACCCGCCATCGCCATCTTCCGACCCGTCGTCGGTCGCCAGGCGGTCGCGGTTGTTCCCTTCTTCTCGCACGCTGGGGCCGACATTGGAAGATGCCGGGGAGTTGGTCGTTTGGTCCGGCTACACAGCAGATTTAATGTCAGAATTAAATCGACGGGGAAAACGGGATTCGGACAGCGCGTGCCAGACATACATGGGGCTGGGAAGATAACCAAGTCAGGTCGTGGCTGGACCCCAGCTCGCGGAGCCTGTGCTTGTATTTTTGATCCACTTCCTTGCCTGCAGCTTCGCGGTTCTGCTTGAGCCTTTGAAGCTCCATTTCAAGCCTTTGAAGCTCCATCTCAAGCTCGTTCTGCTTTTTCTGGAACGGCGCATCTTTGCCCCGTTTCTCTGCTTGGTATGCCTCTTCAAGGATATTCACCCGATCCGCAAGCTGCGCGAATTGGGCGAAATCTTGCCCGGGATCCGACATTGTATTATGAGCTGGATTGTGGCGGATCAAAGGTTAGAGGAGTATGGGGATGCAAAACAAAAAAAAAATGTGTCCTGCACCTCTCATAGAAAGGCGCGCGCGTAGCTTCGCCCGGTTGATGTGACAGATTCGCTTGGCCACTCTAATTGGTCCAAATTCTGTTGCCCCGGGGTCCAGCCTTACTGCCAACAGCCACCTCGAGGCTTGGCGAGCTGATCGTGCCGCCCTCGGGCAAAACGGGTTACACGGGCCTGATCGAGAGGCGGTCAGGCGGCTACACCGCCCGTCTAGCTGCATGTTTGGGCTTGAGGACGCGGCTGGCGTTAACATCCTGTACTCCGCTCGACAACACCAGCAGCGCGCCGCGCATTAAGGCCCTGGCCGAGCATCGAAGAAGTCGCGGTTCGGCTTCACCCCACCTACGATTGAACGCCCGATTTCCTGACGGTGCGGACGCAGCTCAAATGGGCGACCAGGGACCTTCGCCGGGACATTTAGGCGACCGAGTACGAAAGCAAGTGGCTGCACCTGCCGACCGTGAGCCAGAACAGCTACGCCGACTCGACCGCATACTAGCGCGCTCAGGCTTCAAGTTCTAAGAGGCCTATAACAAGGAAGACCCGTATTGCGCCGTCTCCTCCCCGCAATAGGACATGTTCTTCTCTCGCCGGAATCTAGCCCTTTTCAATCCTCTTGCCACGGCGTTAGTAAGTACGCACTTGCTCCTGCTGCTCCTGGAATTACTCTGTTATGGCGACCAAGGTGCCTTCTGTTGCAACCAGGCCTCTGTTTCTAGGGTAGGACACCTAGGGTAGGACACCTAGGGGTTGTGCTGAGCAGTGACACCTGTCGGGGGATTCGGAGGAACTGGAGATTGGGTGACAACGGTCTGACTGCCCGTCCGAGGGGATACCTTGAAGCCAAATTAGGTTGACTGACGTCGGAGCCTCTGCCGAAGCTATTCACAGCAGAAGGAAGTCCTTATTTCTTATACATATGCTACTACTTGCACGGGGTTGCCTGATCGAGTTGCACAAACGATCACTTGGAGTGCTCAGAACAGTCAGCTTAATTATCTCCCGCTGATCACCATTGATCAGCTTGAGGCCCGATCGTGCTAGGCGCTTCCTTGGGAAGTAACAAATTAATCACCTAGAGGGCGTCAAAATCGAACGGGTGGCATATGGCAAAAAAGGGATGGCTTCAAGCTCAATGTCCAACATAGATTCTAGCTCCTCGAACCCAAAGCACACCTTGGTCGTCTTTGTGCTCTGCCAAGACATTGCTGCCTAACAAGAACAATTTTCGTTCCCAACAACCAATCGGGGCATTAACCAACAGATGACTCATTCAGGCTCGCTCGAGATGCCTGGGCGCACCTGCATCCCTCACCGCTCTTTGGCACAGCATTTGAGCTGAGCCGCGTCATGTATTTGAGTTCCATGCATCCGCCGGCATATGTGCTATCATCCTTGCCGCTGCAGACATCACCGGGACGGCTATGGCTCCGAACCTCACCGCAGTTATTGGGCAGTACCCGGTGCTCCAAGCTCTGGCCGCGCAGTTGTCAGCGCTCGATCTGCTCAACCTCGCCCTGAGCTCCAAAGCCCATCATGACATCATCGCAGCCTCCGCGGCGAGATTTCGTCGCTTGCGCGCGTCCTGTGTATGTGATGGCCATGGGCTAAAACTTCGACAGGACCAAGAGGGACTGTACAGGGAGAGGGACTCACGGAATACCGATAAACCCATCGAAGTCCACCTCTACGCTCTTCAGTGCGATCCTTCCTCGGCACTGCCCTGCATCAAATGCGGTGTTAACATCTGCGAGGTCTGATGCATCATTCGCATTGATATTCTGTGGCTAAATACTGATAATCTGCATTTTGGTAGGAATGCCGCCACTACTCGCGTGAAGCCCCAGACCCAACATATCCTGAGCGAAGGCCACACCTCAACTCGCCCTGGCAGCATGAGAACGTTATGGTTTTGTGCCCGCCTTGCGATGAAAAGCAGGAGGCTGAGATTGCGCGCCCGGAGAACTTCCCAGAAACCCCCCTCTGCAGCTGTGACGTTTATACTAGATGGATTTGCCACCCGTGCAAAGTCAAAGAGCGGAAATTCACTTCCAACTACTACAGAGAGTGCACTGTGCTCGAGGCGTATTTTGATTCGGACGACGAGCTCGGTCACGATTTCCAAGGCCGCACTAAAGAAATGGGCGACCACCAGCATAGCCGCGCTGTATGTGTGATGATATCTTCTGACTAATTTCCCTTGATTCGTCGAACTCGCACTGACAATATCGCCCTTGTGTAAAGGTCTACTGCCTTTGTGGCTCTGGCGTGCCCGACGAGATGCGACCTCGCTGCACGTGGTGCAAGCGCCGCCACCTCCCGGAATCTGAGTGGGGCCAAGAGTGGGATGAGGTCGGCCGTAAGATGCCATGGTTTGAGAATGTGCGCTACTATTTTCTTCAAACCCCACTACTTGCCCTTGCACTGCTCTTATCTAACTATTCGTGAGTCGAGATGCTTACAGGACCCTTGCTATCCGCTTGTAATCGGGAATTACTCTGGGAATAACTATACCGACCCCAACATACTTTACCCGAAGCTGAAGTATGACGGGCCAGTGTATGGGCAATGAAGTGTCAGCTTTTGGAGCCTACGCACGATAGTGAGACTTTGTGCGGTTTGACACTTCAAGTCGGAGGGCTGGGTTCTGCACCGTCTGTTATGCCCCGGCACCACTGGTGGAGGTGGATATATTTGATATCTAGTTGGTTGGACTTCGAATGAGAAAGCAGGTCGTGGTACAAGCGCGGCCGAGGGCCGCGCCCTTTGCTTCCACCTTTTCCCCCTCTGCAACTTAATATTCATACGTCTACAGATAGTGATTAAGGTTGAAAAAAGACTAGTAAAGAAACCAAACGTAATTATTATATTTTATCATCCGTTCTCACTGTCAAGACCTCGGTTCTTTTACTTTATTTATATAGGGGAAACTTTGGATTGTTAAATATCCTGGGCAAATACACCCTGCTCTGCTCACTCACCGTGGCCCTCTTACTCGAGCAACCGTGATTACAAAATAGCCATTCTGCTAATGCCCGACGTACTTTCCATTTCCCGCAGCCTAAAAGCAATCCTGATCAAGGAGAAGCGATGCACGCTCTGGTCGTGCTACCGTAGCCAGCCCGGCTTCCACCAGGGCTTCTGCAGAGGGAACCCGGCCCGGACAGGCCCGGAAACGATGGGAGTTGATCACGGGTTAATTCGGAAGTTTAGTAACCCCCTCCTCAACGGCCTCACGGCTGTTCCCATGTGGGATAAAGGAGGTGCCGATGCCTTGGTATACATTGTAACGAACTGACAACTTTGTCGAGGCTAGGCGCGTCACCCAAAGATGCAAGCGCGTTCCTATTCACTCTTTCTTTTGTCGTTTGAGCTTTGTTCTTTGCAGATACATACACCCACTTTCTTTGTCTTATGTTCCTTGCTCTTTGTTCACTACACACATTCACTCCCTTTGTTCAAAAAGCCCGATTGTCCTAACAGTATCACCGTGCACATCCAGGTCGGGGTCTTTCTTTGTTCAGAGCCCTATTGTCCTGTCACAACTACCGTGCTACGCTTTCCCGCGGTATATGTACAAATACCGTCATTCTCATTGCGATGTCTACCGTCCTCCTCTTTCCGCATCATCCTCACACACCAACCGGCCCGGAACCTTTCCGCTCGATCATCAGTATCCAACGGAAGCCCTTGCGACCCAGCCCCGAACGTCTCACAGAAAACTCTCCAAGCAAACACCATGAACGACGCAGCGTACTCGGCCAGCGCCATGGCGATCTGCAAGGGCAACTTGGGCTCGGTGAGGGTCTGCAATAAACTCCGCGCTGTCGGGGCGACGTCCCTGCTCCCCGTGCTCGGGGCCTGCTCGACCAGGGGCTGCGAGCCGTGGCTGCTCTACAAGGATATCTGCGGCGAGGACATCCAGCGCCTCGTCTTCCTCCTCATGGTCATCCGCGAGGAGAGGGTCGCGGCCCGGGACGTGGTGGCCGCCGCCGACGAGCGCGACGCGGCGACGATCGACGAGATCCGCGCCACGATCAGCGATTTTATCGCCCAGTGGTATTACGCATACAGGCCCCCCTCTGAGAGTTCCTAGACGTGGCCAAGACATGGACGTTGTGGTCTGCGTCCCGAGATCGGGAATGGTCCCGGTCTGAGAGTTTAAGGTAAGAGTTCGAGGCTGATCTCTATGGCCGCAACAGGGAGGCGATTGACAAGCCCCTTCGTCCTCCAAACAACATGACTAGATGGATCAGTGGTGAGTGTAGAGACAAGAGTAATAGCAGACAAGAGTAATAGCAGACAAATAGTAAGTATCGGGCAGCCCTTTTTCCTTTTACATACAGAGTGAGGCCATTTTCCAAATCCAATGAACGCACTTCCTTTTTCGTCCTCGCCGCATTAGCAAATCAGTTTTCTTGGCGGGTCTCGGCAGCGCTGGGCTGGATGCACTCGTTTTCAGCCAGCCAGTTGAGGTATTCTATGGTCCACTCTTGGCATCGCCTCATCGCGGGGTGGCTGAAAAATGCGAGGGGCGGATATTGAAGATTTTGATTGGGCTCAGTACCCGTTCTACTTGCTACAGGGCACGCGACGACATTCCCGGCATCCACTACCTTTACAGCAGATACCTGTAGTCGGGCGACATGTCCCCCAGCTCCGTCTTCTCCTCCTCCGTCAGGCGCGAGCCGTGCGCCGCCGCCTCCCCGTCGCGCCTCCTGTTGGCCGCCCAGCAGGCGACGCCGTACGCCACACAGGCCAGGATGCTGAGGACGGTGAAGGAGATGGAGATGGAGTAGCCCGGGATGAAGAAGGGCGCGTCCCGCTTGAGGAATGCGTAGACGGCGATGATGCCGCCGATGTTGCCGAAGCCGACCTGCCAGGCGCTCCCGACGGCGCGGCGGTGGTGGCCGCCCAGGTTCATGTTGAACCAACAGACGATGATGGGCATGGCCGTATAGGCGCCCATGGCGACGAGGAAGAGGCCGGCGTACTGCACGTTTGTGTTGTCGTGCACGGCGATCAGGATGGCGAAACCCGAGATGCAGATGAGGATGGCCAAGACGGCAAAGGCGAAGCGGTGGCGGGTGCGGTCCGACAGGTACGCGCACAACATGGAGAAGCCGAACGAGGCGGCCCAGGGTGGGACGCTTTGAGGTGACAGGTTAGCAACTGGCATGACAGCGGGGTGGGGGGAAGTGAATATTTACCTGTGCAGCTGCGTCTGGATCGGGTCGTAGCCGAAAGTCTGCAAAATGCCCGGCGCGAAGTAGGCATAGCCATAAGCCGGGACGATCAGGCCAAAGTACATGAAGCCTCCGAGGACGACCTTGTAGTCGCGAAAGACGTTGCCCACGTCGCGTAGCGTGATGCTCCGTTCGACGGCGGAGCGGCCCTGGTCGATGCGGAGGCGGGCCGTTACAAAAGCCCTCTCCTCCGGGGTGAGCCACTTGCTCTCCTCGGGGAAGTCCGGGAGCAGGAAGAAGAAAAAGATGGAAACGAAGATGGTGAGGGCACCTTCGATAATAAAGATCCATCGCCAGCCGTGATAGCCCCTGAGGCCGTCCATCTTGCCGATGGCGGCGGCCAGCAGGCCGCCGAAGGCGCCGGCGAGAGTGGTGGAGTTGAAGAAGAAGGAGTAGCGTTTTTGGGCCTCGTGGCGGCGGTACCACATGCCGATCAGATAGAAGGCACCTGGAAACATGCCCGTTTCGAAAACGCCGAGGAAGAAGCGCGTGGCAACGAGGCCGCCGTAGCTCGTCACGAAGCCCTGGATCAGCGTGACGAGGCCGAAGCCGGCCATGTTGAGGGTGAGCCAGATGTGCGGACGGAACTTCTTGAGCAGGATGTTGCTCGGGATCTCGAGCAGGACGTAGGGCACGAAGAAGACGACGAGGGCGTTGTTGTACCGGGTCCCGTCTAGGTGCAGCTCCTCCGAGAGCCCAAAGACGTTTGCGTTTGCGATGTTGACGCGGTCGAGGAAGGCCAGCAGGTACATGATGCAGAGGAAGGGGATGACGTGCAGGTCGATGCGCGTGATCAGCTTCCGCTCCGTCGTGTGCGCCGGGCACTGCGCGTCGAGCAGGTCCTCGTCGGCGTCCCGGTGCGGGGCCGGCGGTGTCGACTCGCCGGCCTCGCCGTGGCGGACCTTGTCCGTGTCCCAGCCGTTGGCCGGCGGCGGGTTCTTGGGCGAGGAGTCGAGCGCCATTGGTGCTGGTGATGGAGGCGGGCGCTAGCGGGCTTGGCCTCGGCTGTGGCGGCTGCTGGACAGGGATCAAGCCTCGTCTGCCGAATGGACAGGAGCCCTGGGTGATGCCCGTGGGGGAGGGGGAGGGAGAGAGGAGGGGAAGGAGGAGGAGAGGCAGACGGTCATAGCAGAGAGCCTAGCCGGGCGCTAGCAGCCTTTTATTGTCAGACAAGAAGATCGCCCCCCAGTTTCCCACCAAAGTCTAGCTCGGTTTCTGGTCGGGTTCTGCTGCTGACAATTCGCCTTCTTTTTTCTTTTTTTTTTTTTCCTGCGGCTCGCGTCGCCATTCGCTGTGGAGCTTCAATGGGTGCAGCCAAGGGGTGACAGCCAGTCTAGTTCGCCCCCACTCCCCGGCTTTTGGAACGTGACCACCATTTCCAACTCAGTGGTAGGTACCCAGGTACCCGCGCACCCGCGCATGTCTTCGGAAAGCCTGGAAGGCGGCTGGGTGGCTGGGTGGCTGCAGTCGGCAGCTGATCCGTTTGGGCTGACGCTTCCGCTGCACCGAAACATCTGGCCGAGGCGCTCTGTTAGGGTTTGGGAGATTACAAGCTTCGACTCACGAGAATCAAGACTCCCCGGCCCTTGAGCTCGCCCCACAGGGACCGTGGTCTTCCCCGCAGTCGAGGTGTTTTACTCCACGCCGAGCGCCGGATATCGGAGCTCGACGCAGAGAAGAGAAGAGGTGCATTGTGATTGCTGTCAGATTTCATCATTGTCGCAGCATGTGCCCTGAAGCGGACCTAAATAACGAGTGCTGACATTCGACTGGATAAGACCAAGTGCACAACTACCTACAGAGGCATTAACTATCTCTTACTGGGCCTCGCAGGCTCCACGTCGTTCCTGAACTGCGCGCTCGCCCTGGCCTCGGCGGCCCAGTCCTGCCAGCACTTGGCCGCGGCGGCGTCGTTCATGTCGCCGCTGTCGGCCGCCTCGGCCCGGTCGAGGAACCGCACCCAGGCCCCGTCCGCCGCTCCACGCGCCAGGCTTTCGGCCTGCAGCTGCAGCCGCGCGTTCTCGTGCGTGTAGACGGCCCGGTACACGGCCTGCTCCAGCGTCGAGCCCCAGCTGACGAACCCGTGGCCCCGCTGCACCACCACGGCCCTCGCTGGCGTCTGCTGCCGCCCCGGGGGCGATTCGCATCCGAATCCTCTGCACCCGCTCCGCCGTTCTTGCTGACCACCCCCTCCTCCTCCTCCTCCTCCTCCTCCTCCTTCGCGCCTTCTTCTTTTTCCTGGCCGCCGTCTCCCGGGGCGAACGTCGAGGCGAGCGCCTCGCCCATCTGCCGCGAGCTGACGAGCAGGTCCTGCTTCCCGCCCGGCGGCGCGGCGCGGTGGTGGTGCCGCCACGCATCGAACTCGGGCGCGCCCTCGCCGAGGAACCCGGCCGCGTGCCAGATGGGCCGGAGCGGGCGGCCGGCGGCGGCGAGGGCGACGACGGGCCCGGGCGGCGCGTGCACCACGCTCTGCACGCCCGGGAACCGCCGGTAGATCTCCGAGTGGATGAAGCTCTCCGAGCGCGGCGCCGCGGTGCCGTCCCCCTCCTCGTCCTCGTCACCGCCGTCGTGCCCGATGGGGAGCACCACCATGTCGTGCTGGCCCCGGACCAGCGACGCCGGCTTGGCACCCGCAATGATGAAGGTGCCGGGGTCCTCCGGGTTGCGGATCGAGACGTGGCCGCACCCGCCGAGCAGGCCGCGCTGCGCCAAGACGTGGTTGGCCGTGATGAAGCTGGACAGGAGCTCGCGCTGCTCCTGATTGCTCGCCGTGGAGATGACCGAGATGGCTGCTTGTTTTGGAGTACCTGGGCCCAGAAGAGAAGACGGCTTGTACGGCTGCTTGCTCGACTGCTTGCTTGACTGCTTGTCCGATTGCTTGTCCGACTCCTTGTCTATCTGGGGTTCCTCCTGCTGCTCCTCCTGCTGCTTCTGACCGTCAGGTTTGGCTGTCGCCTCCGGCCGCGGCTCTTCCTTGCGGAGGAAGAAGGGCTTGGGGAACCTGCGAGCGGGAGAACGCGTGGCGAGCATTTTCCGGTACTCCCTTGTTGGTTTTTCTGTGAGTTCTGGAGCCACGAGAGCAGCCCGTCGTTGAGGACAGGGGCCTGCTCAAATAAGCGGACGACGGATGGTGAGCTCCCGTGGCTGCCCTATCCTCCCTCCATGTTCCTGGTAGCTTGACGTCAGCCCTAGATCACGGAGAACCCAGAGATGGGGTGAAACGGTCGTTGGCGGTGCTGGACACGCGGTGCGCGCGCATGTGACGAACATTTCTCTCTATATCAGCCCGGCCTTGTATCCCGGTCTGAGACTACATGGGAGTGAGTGTTTTATTATTAGATATGACGCAGTCTGACTACCAGAAGGCAAGGAGCGCGCTGCTACTGTCGGGATCACAACTTTGGGACGGACCAGAGAAAAGAATACACTGTGAGGCTGAACCCCGCCAAATACGCGAGCTGTCACGTGTATTCCGGATATCAACAAGCCAAAAAAAAAGCCAACCAATCCATTAACTCCTATGCTGCCAAGGATGAATTCAACCACACGCAGAGGCAGGGGGCCCTATGCGCCAAAGAACCTGATCTTGTCCGACAGCGGCCCGCTCTCCTTGTTCTCGGGCCCGCCGACGCGGCCGCCAAAGACCAGCTGCGAGGACAGGCGCCACGTGTCGGGCAGGTCCCAGGCGTCGGCCACCTTGTCGTCGATGATGGGGTTATAGTGCTGCAGACTGGCGCCGAGGCCCTCGGCCTCGAGCGCGGTCCAGACGGTGTGCTGGAGCATGCCGTCCGACTGCGTGGCCCACGTGGGGAAGTTTTGCGCGTATGACGGGATGTTCTCCTGGAAGCGGTTGATGACGGACTCGTCGACGAAGAATAGGACCTTTGTTTTTTTTTCATGTCAGAGTTGGCAAAAGAGCTGGACGAGCACAAAAAAAAAACTGGGACAAAAAAGGACATACGGTACCGGCGGCGGCCTTAAACCCATCCATGCCCTCCGAGGCCTCGACCCACTTCTCGGGCGAGATGCGCGCCTTGAGCACGTCACCGATCAGGTCCCAGAGCCTGTCGTGCTCGGCGCCGAAGAGCACGACGGCGCGGTTGCTCTGCGAGTTGAAGGCGCTGGGGACGGCCTGGATGGACTCGTTGACGATCCACTTGATCAGGTCCTGGCCGATGGGCAGCTTCTTGTCCAGCTCGTACAGACTCCTGCGGCTCCTGACCGCGTCCAGGAAAGCCGCCGCCATTGCTGGTTTTGGGGAGGAGGAGGAGGGTGAGGAGGCGGTGGTGGGAGAGAGCGTGGTGCGGAGCAGGTCAAGTGGAGAGCTCGCCAGGAGGTGAACAAGACCGAGGATGCTGAGGGGAAGGACGATGAACCAGACTAGGAGGCTGCGGCAGGCGCCCCGCGGTCTTCTTATATGCCAGGTCGCCATGGCGGGATCGCTTGGTTTTTTCCGGGTCAGGGGCTCCCTTGCCACCACGGGGAAAGAAACTCGGATGGCAGCCGAGGGGGTGATAGAGGTTGCGACGCGGTGCGACACGGATGGGCAGAGATCCTACGTTGTTTTAAACAACCAGAAGGGAAGGAAGAGAAAAATGGGAAAAGACTCGGTTCCAGCCGGGCGGGTTGGCGGGGGTTTGCCACGGTTGTGCTGCCAAAAGACCGCCCTGATGCGCGATATCTGGAGAAGGGGAGGCAAGGGGAGGAAAGAAAAACAAGGTGGATTACGAAGCAGGATCGCCAAGTTCCGCGGCAGAGCCGAACCGAACACGCTCAAAACCCTCCATGTGGCCGTCGCGGCGCTCCAGGGGGCCCTCGGGCTGACGCGACGGGACGGGAGTCAGGGGGGCCCTCTTCCCAAAAGCGGCAGTTTCTTGCCAGGGGCGCGGGTTTGGAAACAATGGTTGGATCGACAGCACGAGTCGGACCCGGCTGGACCCGCTACCATCCACGGATGCTGTTGCCGGCCCATCCTTGGTGGCGGGGGCCACGTTTTTGAGAGAAACCACGAAGAGATGGAGAGCTGAAGATGCTTTTCCTCGAGAAGTCCAACAGGGTGCGCTGGCGCTGGCCCGTTGTTGGTGCGGTTCAATTCGACTGTTTGCCACGACTCGTTGCTGGGGCTCCCTTGCAATACCCATGACCGTGTCTTTCCAAGTCAGTCAGTCAGGTCCAATCCAGCATTCCGGCCACTCCTCTCCGCCACAAGGCTGAATGCAGCATAGGTGACGGGCAGAATCCCCCAAGCCCCCCAGACGTGGGCAAATATGGAGGAAACACACGGCGCCTCCCAGTCTGGCCTCACCGTGGCTGATAGGATGTGCATGTTGTCCTAAGCAGTCACCGGAGACGGTCAGGGCTGGGCGGAGAAGCTTCCGATGGCTTCATGTTCTCTACGCCCTGGCCAAGGCAGCCATTGTCGGCGTAAACTTTGAACCGGATTGGAAAGGGAAAAAAGGGTTTGGAGGCTACCAAGCTTTTCCACGAGCCGTCAGAGTAACCTTCTTGGCGGTTGGAAGCCACAGCGGTGGCCACCACTCGGCCAATATATAGACGCGCGCCCCTCTGCTCATCACTTGGCTGCCACTTTCCTTCACGCGTCTCTCAGATCTCCCCTCGGTGCTTTATTACAAATCCTTCTTGCGACTCACCAACACCACCACCACAACACACTCGCCCACCACCGGTCGTCAGAACGATGCTGTTTTCGCCACTTCGCGTCCTCACCCTGGCCCTGGCCGCGGCCGCCCCGCTGGTGGACGGTCGTGCTGCCGGCTCGCCTGGGTCATCACTCCAGGCCCTTCTCCCCAGGCGCGTGCCAAGTAAGAAGTGGCCCGACGCAACCTGGGCCGCTGGCCCGGGCGACCCGCAGAAACAGGGAAACAATATCCGGGGTGCTGTGTTCACAGCCTTTTTTCCAGATCTCCCCACGGGATGTAAGTAGTGATTCCCCCCTGCCGACGAAAAATCGCCCAGACACGCAAAGATACACATGACCTAACCGGGGACAACGGCGAGCTTTGCAGACATCAGGTGCGGCCAGAGCTGGCAGACGGCCAACTTCGACGACATGACGGCGCTCCTCACGCCGTGGCCGCTCGAGAGCGACCCCGAGTTCAGCACAAAGTTCACGTACCTGCCCCCAAGTTCGTGCACGCGGGTGGCGTGCTTCCGGACCTCGGGCGCCTACCTGTGCAACACGCTCAACCACACGCTCATGCTCGAGACGGCCTTCAACCTGACCTGGGCGATCAAGTCGTTCAAGCTCATGCAGGCCCCGTCCGAGAGCACCCACCGGACCGACATCCCGAGCGGGTGCTGCGACAACATCGAGCGCAATGTGTTTAAGCCGGGCTACTCGGGCGAGTGGCGGTCGACGGGACCCCTGGGCGTGCCGGGCTGGCTCGCCGTCCTCGGCTACGCCAACTGCAATGACGACCGCATGTCGCCCTACCCCGGCGGCGGGCCCGGCAAGTGGGACGGCGTCGGCAGCCCCTACAACGGCCGCTGTCACCAGCTGGAGCCCGGCAACTGGCCAAACACCGAGGGCGACACCCAGGGCGACTCTGGCTGCCGTTATCCGGCCAAGGAGCCGCCCATCGGCAGGGTGGGAGATTGGGAGTGGTAGACTCGGTCGGTTGTGATGCCGCGCTCGCTTTTTTCTTTCTGTCTTTTTTCTTCTTTTTATCTCACGTGGCGTGGCTTTGTGGCGTTCTAATTTGTGGCCTGCCATGACGCGGCAACTGGGTATAAAATAAGTATCTTTCAAAAAAAAAACCACACTCTGTGTTTCCTCGTTTAGGCAAATAATAACGTTGACAATACGTAGCCCACTGCGATGGTCGACTTTCTACATGCTTGATAGATACCTGTACGGGCGCTATACCCCATTCCCATTGTATGTTATCCGGGTTTAAATTCTCCGGCAACCCTGCCCAATACCTGACTGAGTACAACCTACAGCCTCGCATGGCATCACAATGCGGGGGCTGCCGTGGGGGCCTTATTGGAAACGGGGAGGCTCCAATTGGCCGCCGAGGGGCCGACTTATCTCGCGTCCATCTGCGAGACCCCGCAGGAAAAGTCCCTGCCTAGTGCTGCATGTGATGGATGTACCGGTACACTACCTAGATGCAGTGTAGCGGAGGACATGCCTTGGCCCCTCGTCCTCCGAGGCCATATAACCGCCGTCGCCCGCCAGCGGCTTGAGCGTCTTTGCCATTGCTGTCTTCGGCCACCCCAAAAGCGAGGAGCAAGGCAAAGAAGAAGGAAGAAAAAAAAAGCCACGGCAGCAAAAAGAAGATGGCCGAGCAACCCGCAGCGCAAGCCCAGACGCCCCGAGTCCCGGGCGCTCCTGGCCCCGCCGCCGCCGGGCCCGAGCAGGCGTCGTCGTCCAAGCCCTGGGACCCCAGCGTCCAGACCGACCTGACCGCCCCGCCGCCGCCCGACGGCTGGGACCCGGAGCTGGAGCGGGCGTTCGAAGCCTACGTCCCCGGGACCGAGGAGGAGAGGCGGCTGGTGCGCAAGATCGACCTGTTGCTCCTGCCGACCCTCTGGTGGATGTACGTCCTCGCCCAGATCGACCGGAGCAACATCGTGAGCAGCGACCGTCCCACATTTCCCAAAGGGAATAACCGCTAGTTCTGGGCTAACGTTGGTTCGAGTTGTCAACTAGGCAAATGCGAACGCCGCAGGGCTCAGCCAGGATCTGGGCCTGAGCGACGATGGTAAGTAGGGGGCATGCTAGGCTCCCCCAAGCTTTTCTTCCTAACCTGGCGGCCACCCCGCTGACCCGAGTTTGGAGCCTGACAGACTACGCGCTCGTCGTGAGCATTTTTTTCGTCGGTTACGCCATCATGGAGGTGCCCTCGAACCTCCTGCTCAACCGGTGGCGGCCGTCCCTGTACCTGACCACCATCATGGGGGTCTGGGGCGCCTGTGTGGCCGCCATGTCCACGGCCGGGTCCCGGGAGCACTTTCTCGTCGGGCGCTTCTTCCTCGGCTGCATCGAGGCCGGCATGTACCCCGGCGCGCTCTTCATCCTGACGTGCTGGTACAAGAGGGACGAGGTCGGGAAGCGCTTCTGCGTCTTTGCCACGTCGGGCACGCTCTCGCAGGCCCTGGGCGGCATCATCGCCGGGGGCATCATCGCCAACCTGGACGGCAAGAATGGCTGGCCGGGATGGTGAGTTTCTTGTGTGACGGGTTCCCCCAAAGAGGAGTGTGTGTGTGTGAGAGAGAGAGAGGCCGGGACTGATCCGGGGATTCGTCGCAGGAGATGGCTGTTCCTCGTAGAAGGGGTCGTCACCATCTTCTTTGCCTTTATCTTCGTCTTCGTCCTGCCCGACTACCCCCTGGGGACGCGCAGGTTTAGCCCCGAGGAGCGCAGGCTTGCCCACGTCCGCATGCTCGTCGACCGCCGTGCGAGCACCAAGACGGGCGAGGCGAGGCTCACGGCGCTCGAGTCGGTGCTCGCTGTGGTGGCAGACCCGAGGACGTACGCGTTCCTAGTGATTTACATACTCAACACGACGGCCATGACCATCTCGTACTTTATCCCGGCCACGCTGCGCAGCATGGGGTAAGATCTACCTACCTACGCCTTTGTTCTGTGAAACAACGACTTTGGGACCACCAAACTAAGGAGGCTGGCTGACACATGCTGCCTAGATACACCCAAGTGACGGCGCAGTGGATGACGGTCCCCATCTGGGTCTCGGCGTCGGCCGCCATGCTGGTCATCTCCTACTTCTCGGACCGCACGGGCGACCGCCGCTGGTACGTCGCGGGCTGCATGGCGGCGGCGGCGGCCTGCTGCGGCGTGTGCCTGGGCACCTCGGCGGGCGCGGCGCGCTACGCCATGCTGTGCCTGCTGGCGGGGGCGCTCTGGACGGCGACGCCGCAGATCCTGACGTGGGCGTCGGAGCTGCTCGCGCTGCCGGACCAGAAGCGCTCCGTGGCCCTGGCCCTCATCAACTCCTTCGCCACCCTGTCCGTCCTCTGGGGCAGCCGCCTGTGGCCCTCGGCCCAGAGCCCCGCCTACCGCACCGGCTTCTCGGCCGTGACGTCCATGGCCGCCGCGGGCGCGCTGGCCGCCGCGCTCATGCCGCTCGCGTTTGCGCGGCTGAGCACGGCCCCGCGCACGGCCGGCGAGGCGAGGGTGTTGGGGCTGGACGGGGCGGCGGCGGCGGCGTCGTCGTCGGTGGTGGACGCGTCGTCGGTTGATGCGCCTGTCGTGGGTGGCCCGCGGGGCAAGGGCGGCTCGGGGGCTTGAGAGTAATGTGCCTGGTAGAGGGGAGCTACGCCGTCGAGGCCTATGCGTCGAACCGTTCGGAGCTGTCGATGGGCGGGCTGTAGAGGTGGCCCAGAAGCGTTTGGGGCAATGACGGCGATCCCCTCCAGGAAACAGATGCCTTGACAACAGCGGCGAAATGCCCTCGGTAATTCCGTACCAGTTCCGTGTTATGTCAACATATACAGTACCGATCGCGGCCCTCAGATACAACCGTGAAGCTGCACTTTTGCTTCGAGACGTATCAGCATCTTCGGGGACCTCCCGAGCCTTGCCAGAGAGATATGCCGGACAGCCATCTATCCCAGGGAGGGCATATTATCTATCAAGTGAAAAGGCGGCGGTCGCTGTAACGACAGCTGCGCAAACAAGTGAGCGCCTGGGAGGTACATTCAAGGTACGCTCTGTGCGCTGTGCGGCCGCAGAGCCCAACTAGGTGTTCATGTGGTGGTCAAATTACGAGGTGATCGCTCATTTATTACTCATGGCATATTTTCTTCATGAAAGTCGCACTTGATTAGGCCTAGACTGCAAGATATTCCTCCGCAAGCCTGTCTACCAAAGCAAGGCACCCATTCATGCCAGATTAGCACCGCGCCTCGCCGACGCCAATCTCCTCGGCGGCCAGGACCCACTCCATCAGGCCAGCCGAGACCTCGAGCATGTTCAGGCGGTACTGCTCCGGGGTCGGGTAAAAGGGGCACGAGGCCTGGCTATTGCCGAAGCCGAACTCGAGGCAGTAGCTAAAGATCTTGTTGGCCGAGGGGTCGGCGAAGTGGCGCGACGTCGCGTAGTCGTCGGACGCGCCGCTGGTCGGGTACAGCAGGCTGGCCTGCATGGTCTCGTAGTGGCGGCCGGTGGCGGCCTCCATCGAGTTGACGCTGCGGACGGCGGCGTAGGTCGCGTCGCGCCAGTCGTTGCTCGGCATGTACTCCTCGTAGACGGCGCCCGAGGCCGGGTCGTCGGGCATGAGGCCGCGGACGCTGTCGTAGCTCGAGTTCATAAAGTTCATGTAGGGCTTGCGCATCTGGTTGTGGTCGCTGCCCCAGCTGTGCAGCAGGGCGCCCGTGTACGAGTGCAGGTCGAGGTACCAGCGGATGGGGAACTTGTCCATGACCCACTTGATGGCGCGCGTCTCGGGCTCCGAGAAGGCGCCGGTGCCGTGGAAGGTCTGGTCCGCCGGGTCCACCGACGCCACGTTGGGGCCGACGTCCGGGTGGAACTTTTTGAGGAAGTCGAACAGGAAGTCAAAGTTCCTGTTGAGGTCGATGCCGACGGAGTCGGGGTTGCCGGGCGTGGCCGAGGCTGGGTTACGGTTCTTACGCCAGCACGTGTTGGTCGACTGGTCCCAGGCGACGCCGTCGGGGTTGGATAGCGGCACGAAGACGATGCCCGTTTTCAGGGCGCGCTTGACGTCGCAGTTGGAGTACTGGCGGCCGCCGTAGGTCAGGCCGGTGTTGTGCTTGTCGGCGTAGAGCAGGTCCGAGACGAAGTACAGGATGTTGTCGGGTGAGCCGCGTTCTCGCGCGTGGATGGCGCCGTTCAGGTAGACGTGGTAGGCGCTGGGAGATGGTCAGCGTGAGAGGATCAAAACGATACACAAAAGAAAACAACATACCTAGAGCAGTTTCCACCGCTTCCGCCGATGGCTCCACCAAATATGGTCCTGTTCTCGTACCTGATGCATCATCTAGCGTCAGCAACGAAATCAGGGCACGGGTTCTAGGGCGCGTATACAGCAACCAACACTCACGTCTTGTCGGGCGCCTCAAACGCCGTGATGCCGTACTCCCGCTTCAGGCCCTCGAAGCCCGAGTAGATCTCGGCGACGCTGAGCAGGCTCTCGAGGTTGGTCCCCGCGGGCTGGGTGCCGAGGCCGCGAGGGAAGGTCTTGCCGCCGTCGAACCTGTCGCCCGTGCCGACGGCGATGCCCGTGTTGTCGCCCTGGCGGCGGATCAGGAACGACCCCGGGCCCTTGTGCGCCGACTCGCCGGGCAGGAGGCAGGCCCCGGCCGTGTGCGCGAGGCACAACGACATCCAGGCGGACGTGAACTTCATGATGGGCGGCGGGCAGGGCTGGCGGCGGGAACCAAGGTGGGAGTGGGTGCAGAGCGAGGGGAGGGTAGCCCCCTGGCTACGTCGGTTCGGTGGGCGCGGCCTGGCCTTTTGAGGCATCACGGGCGCGTCTTGGGATTCACTGCCAAGAGACCCTCGCACCTCGCGCTCCCCCCTTGTGGCCCGTTTTTGGACTTTCCCGCGGCTGGGCGCCGGGCCAGCTGCAGTGACCCGCAATGATAGTCACAGTTACACAGTATTCGCTCTGTAGGCGAGCCGGGGATCAAAAGGCCAGCTCCCCCAGGGCGGAAGCAACATCACGCATCATTCCTATCTCGCGGCCTGTGCTCGATTGGGCAGCTCGCTGCGACACGGTGACGCCGCCAAGGCAACAACGCTCGGGTAGGTCGGTCAGCGGGTTACTGATTGCGGTGTGCCTGGCGCCGGGAGCCGACAGCATCAAATTTGATGTAAGAGACAATTTCAATTCAGGGCCGAGAAGTAATTGGCGGCTAAAGCACCGGTCCCAATCCGGAAGGTCCCAGCCGCTGTTGATAACCGTGGGCCGCGTGGGCGCGGGGCGGGGCAAGGAAGCCCAGCTTGGCGTGGTTGGGGTTGGGGTCTGTGGGCAGAGTTGAGGGAAGCTCCAAGAAAAGCGGAGACAAGGAATTGAGATGAAATGGGACTAGAACAAGGGATGAATATAGAAATCGTCAGACAGACACTCAAAGAAATAAACCCGTGGCCTTCGCATTGCATTCACTCGCTCTCGTCCCGAGGCCATTCAAACGTGAATTGAACCGCAGGCACAAAGTCGGGCAGGCGCGAACCTGGGCGCATCCTCTTCTCAAACGCAGCCCGAACCTTGGGGAGCCCGTGCGCGAGCCACCAGCGCTGGAGGCAGTCGTCGAGGCAGTAGGCGTTGGAGTGGGACCCCATGGCGAGCAGCCGCGAGGGCAGCGAGGACAGGCCGTCCCCAAACTGCCCGACCGCCGTCCCGATCGCCAGCAGCTCCTCGATGCGCGCCCGGTCCGAGAGGGGGACGACGACCGAGGCGCGCAGCGGCGACGCGAGGTACTTTATCAGCCCCGTGTCGTACACCCGGTAGGTCGTGGCGGCGTCGGGCCCGTCGGGCTCCACGTCGGTGCTGATGAAGGGCTGGTCCGGGTCGAGCGAGAGGTCCTTGGCCGTCTTGGCTGCCGCGCCGTCGCCCGTGCTGATGATGATGTGGATGATTTGCACGGCGACCATGACGGTCCTGGCGCGTCTGAAGCACCTGGATATTTTCGCATAAGCCCTTGCCCGGGGGCGCTCGGAGTACTCGACAATGGGGCCAAAGAAGGTGGCCAGGCTGGTGAAGGCAGGCATGGCCTTCTCGAAGCGGCTGGCGGTCCTGGAATTGTCCAGCGGCGAGCCGATATGGATCGAGTCGCCGGGCAGGACCCACGCCCGCAGCTCCTTCTTTCCGGACTCGGACCGCTCCCTGACACGGACGGCCGCCCGGGCGACCGCGCGGGCCTCCCTATTCACCCGTGCCATCAGCGGCATCGCCAGCCGAGAGCTCCAGGTGCTGGCCATTCCAGGCTGGTTATACTCTGCGGTAAAAGTCCTGCCCCCTCCAAAGCCGAGGGCGTGCTTCCAGATCTCCAGGCGCAGCTCGGCCGGCAGCCTCGGGAAATGCTCGAACGAGGGCGACGGCTCCTCAAGTCCAGCGCCCGGGGCCGGAGGATTCGCCTCGCGCACCGCGTCGTCGAAGACCTTGAGCACCCGCCTGCGGTCGCGGGCCTGCTCGTCCTGTGACAGCACCCTCTCGCGGGGCGGGACGCAGCGCGGGATTCCATACCCCGGGGTAGGTTGCTCGACCGGGGCCGGGAGAAACTGCTGCCCGGGCGGCACCTGCAGGACGGGCGGCGTGGGGATCAGCTCTGGCGGGCCCGGGAAAAGCTGCGGGTTGACTAAGGGGTGGCCCGAACCCAGGAGAAAGTCGGGCCTGGGCGGCGGCACGTTGAAGCTCGGTGGCGGCTCCGAGTCGACAGGCGGCCTCTCGGGCTCCTTGGGCCGGGGCGCCCGGGGCACGACGCCCTCGAGGAGATGGAATAGGGTCTTGCGCGCCTCGGCGGCCAGGCGCTCGGGCGGCGCCGCCGGCCCGACGGCATGGGCGAACCAGGAGTGGCGCATGTGCGGGCAGGTGCGCGATAAGACCTGGCGCCGAGACGAGTACCTCACGCTGCCGTCGATGGCCGGGGTTGGAAACGGCTTGAGCCGGAGCCCGACCCGGGCCCGAATTGGCTCTACCTCGCGCAGACGTTCAAAGGACACACGCGGCCAATTTGGGTCGCCCATGACTGCGAGTGGTAGGGCGTTGACTGTGGTAGCGAGCTGAGAGGCTATGTGGTGATAATGATGGATGGTGATGGATGGTGTTCTTTCCGCCGCCAATACATGTCTATATCGATTGAACTTTCTCGGGACAAACATGTCTTATTTAACACCCACAACATCTAGCAGCCAAGAGCCAAGTGGCTGGCAGACCCCCGTGCCCCCTCCCGCCCCTCGGGTTGCCTGTCACATCATGGAGGGTGATACAAGGTGGGTGATATTGCATGCCGGCGTTTCGTGGCTTGCATGCCCCTTCAGCTGCATTGTGATTGTGCCACCGTCCAGGCAATCAGCGCCGCCCCAACACTTGAACCATCCTTGGCCATGCTCATTCGGACCCTTTGCTCCGCCATCTTCCCGATCCCCGACATCTCGCGCAGAGCGGCGCGCATGTTGCCCTCGAAACCAGGGAAATGCTCGAACAGGGACCCGTCGACCCCGATGTCGATCTCCTCGCCACCGCCGCCACTACTGCTGCTGCTGCTGCTATCCGTCCCGTCTTCGTTATCATCCTGGCGCGGCAGGGATGAGGTGGCCGGTCGGCCTATCACGTCGAGCCCCAGCCAGGAGGCGAGCCGCCTAGCGATCCCAAGCAGCACGGCTCGGAACACCCCCAGGGACGCCAAGACCCCCCACGCTGCGCCGGCCGCGGTCTGGTCCCCTTGGCTGCCTCGCCCCGACTGGATGACCACGCCGGCAACCGCGACGGCTGAAAGCCTGGCTGCTCGGCGGCCGATCGCCTCCGCCACCAATCTGATGGCCTCTGCGTCCGCCGTCGCCACGTCGCTCACGCCGAGCACGCCCTCGATCTCGCCGCGGGCCGAGTCGAGCCCTGCCGTCCTGTCGCTCACCAGCGCCGACAGGAACGAGCTGTCGATCGAGTTTGGGACGAACAGCCTCGACGTGGGCGGCACCCTCAGTCCCTCGAGCCCGCCGCCTGGGCCACAGCCGTCCACCAGGACCAGCCGCATGATCTCGCCCAGATACATGCCCGAGATGCGCTTCTCAAAGTGCTGGTCGTCCGGGTTCGCCGAGTCCCGGTCCAGCGCCGCGTCGTAGCGCGTGACCGGCAGCACCTCCAGCTTGCCGTCAAATCCTCCCCACTCGGTGTTGAGTGCCTGGAGCCGGCCCCGCCGCCGCTCCGGGTCGGCAAACTGCTCCTGGGAGTGCAGCTTGGTAATGTTCTCGAGCCGCTCCATGTACGCCCCGTTGGTGCCGGTCCCAAAGATGGCCCCCAGTAGCGTGCCGCTGCATGTTCCAGTCTTGGCCCCGTTGCCGCGCCTCGCGGATGCACCCGCCGAGTAGGCCCGCGCGGCCAGCGCCCCGACGGTGTCGTTCGCGAGCGCCGCGACCACCAGCGGGAGCCCCTGCTCGTCCAGGGCCTCCTGCAGCATCGCGCAGGGGTCCCGCCCCACGGCGTCCTTGATGGTGAAGGCCTTGGTCCAGAACAGGAGCGTCCCCCGGTCGATGGCGTGCTGGTCGAACGTGAAGCTGAAGGTGAACCCCAACGGATGCGCGTGCTTCCGGCGCAGCTCGCCGGTCACGTCTTCCCGTGATGCCAAAACTCCCCGCCACTCTCGCACCCTCTCCGGCCACGGCCACTCCTCAACGCCCTCCGGCCAGGCGCCGAGCAGGAATCCCTCGACCTGTTGGGCAACGAAGCGGAAGAGGTCTTTGTAAGACGGCGCCGTCATTAGTGCCACGGGGATCGCGGCCTTGGTCTTGGCCACCGAGTAGGTCGAGTCCCCGCGCAGCTCGACCGAACAGACCCTCAGGTTCGTGCCGCCGAGGTCGACGGCTAGGCAGGTGCCCTTTTCGCTCCCATCCGGGAGCTTGGCCACATATGACGGTACCTGGAGAAGCGAGGTCCCATCCTGGGCCAGGCCCTCTCCTGCAACCAGGACTGGTTAGCGCTCTATCCGGCTTGGAAGACTACCATCGTCCAAGATTATCATGGCTAAAGGAGACTGACTGAGCTGCTGCACAAAGAGATTGGTTGCGTCCTGCAGCAGCGAGGGTGTGACCTCAAACTGTTGGACAACGGCAGACGCCCAGGGTGCTATCATCCCCCCTGGCCCGACGCCGTGGGCTTGTTCGATGGGGCTTGACGCCATTGCAGACGTGACTATAAACCCAAGATGAGCCCGATGTCTTGCCTTACCATACCACCCGCAATGTCCGTTCACGCCGATCCTTGGCCTCGGGACGACTGGCGGTCCCGAGACTAGACTGGAAAATCGCAACTTCTCTCTCTTCTCAAAACATTCTGCAACAGCCGTCTCCAGTGCTCCTAGTCGCGTCTTTTGCAGGTGGCTTCTGCATCTCCACACCAGAGGCGCTCGATATCGACCTGCCCCTTCGGGAAACCTCGGCAAACCAGGTCATGTTATAAGCCCTCCCCCGCTCGCTTTTGGGCGCATCGCCCACTTTAGATGGCACTCGTATTCGTGCATGAGGAGTGGGCTCAGTGTATCGAGTCAGGCTGATAGGGACCTCCCCCGATCACCGCCGCACTTGCATCAAACTTATCACGCCCCCGACATGCCTTTTACGGGCTCTTTGCCCCGACTTGTGCTTGATTTCGAAGCATGAGAAATGCTAGGTACATCGACCTGCAACAGTCAACTGCCAAAGGGCCGGAAAATCACCCGGCAGACTTGTTCCTGGTCGCGACACCACCAAGAGCCTCCGGCTTCTCCTCCGTTCCGGTCGGCAAGCGGCCAACATCCGGGGATAAACTGCCCACCGCCGGAACTCGGCAGGAACGCGCCAGCGGCTCCACCCCCACAATGTCGAGAAAGCTTGGGTTACCGTTGATGGTGGGCAAAGCGGCATGAACGGCGACATGTTACGTGGGAAATGCAACAGGTGCCCTCATTATGCCCAGGTCAAGAGCGCCTTCGTGCCGTCGTCGCGGGTCAGCGCTACATCTTGTTTCCCTTAGCGAACTCTACGCCCCGTCAACATACAAAGACGATATCCCATCGACTCTAATGCCGCCTCGAAGCCTGTAGACCTACCGCGTGGCTTGATCTCGCCAATGGACGTAGCCCGTTCCTTAAGGCGCCCGTTCAAAGAGTCGGCGTTCCCGGGCTTGGGTACCTGCATCTGTCATCCGAAAACCGCCACCGGGAGACTCACCGACGACCGCTGCCCTGGATCTCGGCGCCTAGCCGGGGTTTCTGCGGGGTCAGTGCGACTTTCAGCAAGGATGTTACCCAAAACTGGGGCACCGTATTGAGGGTCGATATCGGCTGGGCTGGGGTAGCATTTCGGTGGGTTATGGAGAGACGGGGGGACCGTGCAAACTCCCCATATCCCCGCCCTCTGGGGATGTTTACATCTGAATTTCCCCAGGTACACCGACGAGGCAATGGAACGACGACAGATTGGCAGCGGAGACGATGCCCGTTTTTGGCCTACGTCGACCGCGAAAACTGGGGAGCGCCGCGATAGCTCATGTTGATATGGAGACCCGGATGGATGGGGACAGCGAGAGAGGGGTTGGGGACTGACTGGAAAGCATTTAAGGCCGAGTCGGTCCGCCTGGTCGGACGCGGTCGCGGCGACGGATGGACGACGCACTCCTGGTCTAGTTCAGTTTCGAGCCAGCCAGCCAGACCGAGCCGTCGTTTTCTTCGCCTCCCTTTTTTCCTCCCAGACAAGAAAACAAAATGCGCCCTAGCTTCATCGTGGCCGCAGCGGCGGCCGGGCTTGCGCACGTCGTGGCCGGCGCCAGCTACGTCGAGGGCCTGTCCCCCAACGCGCGCTCGCTCTTCACCGAGGGCATGGACTGGATGGACGGCTTCTACGACGCCAAGGCCGGGTGGCTGTACGACTTCGGCGCCGCCTCGGCCCTCCGGTACGAGACCAGGAGCTCGGTCTGGTACGCCTTTGGGCTCCTGGCCCGCAACCGCGGCGGCGACGCGGCCGAGGCCGACAAGATCCTCACCAACCTCGTCCACGACCAGTACACGGACCCCAAGGACCTGTGGTACGGCGACTACACGCAGCACCCATTTGAGCCGCGGGTGGGGACCAAGAACTACCAGCCGGTATTTTTGCTCCCTTTTTTTTCTTTTTCTTTTCTTTTTTTATCCCTCCTCCGCCCATGACTCCCCAAGGGCACTCGACTAACACCTCTCTCCCCCTAGGCCATCTACGGGACCTGGGACCCCAACTGGCGCGGCTTCGTGGGCACGACGCTCATCATGTGCCTCGAGGAGTTCCCGCACCTGCTCAGCGACGCGACGCAGCAGCTCGTGCTCGCGTCGCTCCGCAACGCCACCAAGGGCGACGAGTACCGATTCGGCCACCTGGACCCCAAGCAGGACAACCTGTACCCGTCCTACAGCAACCCGGCCATCATGCGCGCCTTCATGTCGGGCTGGACGGGCCGGCGGCTGGGCGAGGAGAACATGACGCGGTCGGGCGAGCTGTACGCGCGCGAGATCGTCGACCTCTTCGACCGCGCCGACACCCTGTCCGAGTTCAACAGTGGCACCTACACGGGCGTCTCGCTCTTCGGCCTCCTGCTCTGGTCAAAGTACCTCGCCGCGGACTCGCTCATGAGCTCCCAGGGCCCGCGGATGGTCCGCCACACGTGGGAGGCGGTCGCGCAGCTCTGGAACCCCAAGATGAAGAATATGGCGGGGCCTTGGGACCGGGCGTACGGCTACGACATGAACAGGTACCTGTCCCTGATGGGGCTGTGGTTCTGGGCCATCCTGGGCAAGGAGAACTCGTCCATGATCGAGAAGCCGCAGGTCATGTCGCACATGGCCGACTACGCCTGGGCGCCCGTGTTCGCGGCGCTCGCGGCCAAGAACGACGAGCTGCTGCCGGAGCCGTCGCGTAAGCGGCTGGAGACCTTTGAGGGCGAACACACCTTCAAGGCGTCCACTTACACGCCGCCCTTTGACCTGGTGCCGCGCAACATCACGACGTGGATGTCCGAGGACCTGACCATCGGCGCCGAGTCGTTTGACGAGATCGTCGTCGGCGGGCCCTCGCGCAGCCAGGAGTCGTTCAACCCGGCCGTCGTGCAGTGGGATACGGGCAGGGAGATTTCCTTCATTTCGGTGAGCCCTCTTCTTTCTTTGTGTCCCGCCAGTTTGCTGCTGTTACTAACGTCCCCCCTCGCAGCTCTACCCCACCGAAATGGCGCTCGAGGCCGAGGTGGCGCCCGGCCGGCTGAGCCTGTCGTACCCGCGCGGCGGTGCCGGCTCGCAGTTCAGCCTGCTCGTCGGCGCCTTCAAGGGCAAGCCCGTGGTCGGCGGCTGGGAGGACGTGCAGGGCCTCAACGTCAAGGTCGGCGGCAACGCCAACATGACCTACAGCCTCGGCTTCGCCGGCCAGTACGGCGGCCAGTACAAGCCCGTGCGCGACTTTGAGTTCTGGAACTTCACATACACCATGCCCCAGGGCTTCACCGGTGTCCCCAACCTGGTGCTGGAGCTGGCGCACAAGAAGGTGTGCGGGCGGGGGTGAGATGCCTAGGTTACCTACCTAGATAGATGGCTAGACGGGGATTTAATGATAATGATGATGCATACGTGAGGAATTCCAAGAAATTAAGCAAAACATTGAGCGATTGGATACTGTGTTATTCCGGCTTCTTTCAGTGTGGATGGGGCGCGTTCCCATTTGTTGGCAACAACTTGGTTAGCAAGCCTAGGATTCAGGCCATCTCTCTTGGTCCTAGAGCGGCTCATTGTCGTGCTGTAATATTGCTTCACCGACAGGTCGTTTTTGGGCGTCAATACACAATCAGAGGCGCTGCAGCTTCGATGTCGGAAGAAGCAACACGAAGCAACGGCCGTCAAGACGCCCAGACGGCAGCGGCGCTCCTCGGCTGCTGCAGTCAGCCAGAATAAGCTCCGAGGGCCTAGAGATGTCGCCAGGACTTGGCCTGGGCTGGGCCAAGGGGTGTCACATGTGTTGGTCCCTTGGCAATATCGCCAGCCAGCCAGCCAGCCAGCCAGCCAGCCAAGATGCTGCATCTTTGGCCGGTGCCACCTTCCCCGAATAGGAAGGCTCCGGGAAGGAATGAACCGATCGCCATTGAGCAAGGACCGGGCGTCACATGGACTCGCAGGGTACGTGGCTGGGGAGGAAGCGCGCGCAGAGACTGTAGGATAATCTTTGTCGGGAGGATCGTTGCTTCCTGCTCTCACGAGGGAGGCTCCTGCCAAGTGCCGCGCAGGGGTGGGGAAGTGGTGTAATTAGAACTTAACCAGGACATATTTCAGCGATCAAATTTGACCTCAACTTGGAAATCGCAATCGCCCATCCAATTCATCGCCTCCCTTCTCAACCGTCGAAAATAGGTATCAATATCCCTTCCAGCTTCTTTTCCTCGACCGAGCACTTAAGCCCAGGGAAAACACTGTGCTCAGGTCCAACAAGTAAACCTATTGCCAACCTAGACACAAACAGACGAGATGGCCTCCATGCAGTCGCCAAGCACTGCACGAGGAGCATCAACCCCGCACTCCACGACTCGGCCACTCGACCTCCCTGTCCTGAGAGCGGCACAGTAGTTCTCGCGGGATGGGCGGGTGATGGCTGGCGCTAGGACTGCCGGTTAACTACGCCGAAGCCACCCCTAGCACTTCGCCATTGGCTGGCCACCCCGGCCGCCCATGACCACCCCAGCACTCGACATCTCTTGTCGCCTTCCGGTTTTGAAAGACCAAGAGGCCAAGACTTCGAGATGGTGGGTGTTGCACATTGCTAGCGGAAACATATCGTTGGACGAGCCCGAGAGGGCGGGGCCAGATAGCATCCGCTGGTACCTCAGGCTCTTCTAAAGGATCCCAGCTGTGATATTCATATGCGATGCTGGGATGAGGTCCATGAACCTACCACCCAGCACTCAAACGCTCTGGACACGAGTAGGCTCCAGACAGCACTCGGCGAGGACTTGCTGATACCATCTTGAGCCTTTGCTCTTTGTCGCCATGACCACGGGAAGGCCCCTCATGGGCCGCAGCCAACCGACAGCCCAGCTGCACCTGCCCTGGCTCCCGGCGCAACGTCGGCCGTGTCCTATCTTTCAGCTTCCTTGGGTACGCAATCCGATGCACACACTCGCGATCGTCCTTGGCAATTCATGTCTTGGCTCGCCGCCTCCCAAGAAAAAGATACCTCCCACTTGACATGAGTTATCTCTGGGCATGCCCCTCCTGAGCCCGTTGGCTACCCCGAAACGCTTTGCATCGGCCGACGCCAAGAGAAGGAGATGTAACGTCCTCCACCCCACATGATGGTCCCTATCGAGCCTCCCTTCCGGTGGAAGCAGGCAAGCCCTTTTTGGAGGGGCGCGCTCGCCTCGCACCGCATGTCTGGGACGTCTGTACCCGCATGCTACAAAAGGCTGGAAGTACCCGGCCTACCTTTCCCCTTGGACCGCTCTCTTCTTCTCTCTTCTACCGCGTGACCTGCTACCCCTTTCGTACAGCAATTGGAGCCCCTTTGTTGGCCCGCTGCGCTGAAGAGAAAGCGTCTGCTCTCGCTTACTACTACACAAAATGTCTGCCGCCGCGGACGTTGACCTGGTCGAGGCGGCCAGGGGCGACATGCCCCGGATCGAAAAGGGCATGCCCGACGCTAAGAAGCCGGCTGCCTACACCGGCGACCTGTCGGACAAGGTCGAGCCGGTCGAGTCCTTTCGGGGCCCGAATGGCGAGATCTACCCTACCGAAGAGGAGATTTTGACACTCCGCCACACCCACGGCAAAGTCAACTGGCTCATCTACAGCATTGGCATTGTCGAGATGGTTGAGCGCTTCGCGTACTATGGAACCACGGCTGTTTGTGAGTATCACGCACTGGTCCTATTCATCCTTCACTCGTCTCTTGGTTCGCAAGGCCAACCCAGATTGCTGACGCGGCGCGTCTTAAAGTCGTCAACTTTATCTCGATGCCGATGCCCGCTGGCTCGACGACGGGAGCGGTGACTCCCCAGGATGACCAGGCCGGAGCACTGGGACTCGGCCAGCAGGTATCCACCAGCATCACGCTGTTCAGTGTAAGCCAAAGCTTCCTACCAAGGCTGTTTTATCCAGACGAAAGCATGCCCTGTTGGAAAGCTGACGCTTGCAAAAAAAGTCTTTCTGGTCATATGTCATGCCCATGGTTGGTGGCTACGTGGCCGATACGTACTGGGGCAGGTTTTTGACGATCCAGTACGCCATCGTCATCGCCACCTTTGGTCATATTCTCATCATCGTGGCCGCCATCCCTTCCGTTATTACCAACACCAGTGGTGCGCTCGCCGTGTTCCTCATCGGCCTGGTCTTCTTCGGTACCGGTGTGGGCTGGTTCAAGGCCAACATCTCACCCCTGATCGCAGAGCAGTACGAGTTGGCGCAGCCACGGCAGACGGTTGAGACGCTCTCCACCGGGGAAAAAGTCATCATCGATCCCGTCATGACCATCTCGCGTATCTACATGCGATACTATTTCCTCATCAACGTGGGAGCCCTTGTTGGCCAGATCAGCATGGTTTACGCCGAGAAATACGTCGGCTTCTGGCTTTCGTACCTCCTGCCCACCATTCTCTTCTTCCTCTGCCCCATCATCATGATTGCGTCGCGCAAGCAGTATGCCAAGCGGCCGCCCACTGGGTCCGTTCTCGGCAATGCCATCAAGCTCGTCAGGCTAGGCATCAAGAAGGGCTCCTTTGGTGAGATCAAGCACGACTCCTTCTGGCAGCGCATCCAGCCCAGCCGCCTGCCCGCCTCGGAGCGGCCTGCGTGGATGAGCAAGATCGACGACGCCTGGGTCGACGAGGTCCGCCGTGGCCTCAAGGCATGCGCGGTGTTCCTCTGGTTCCCCATCTTCTGGCTTGCGTAAGTTGTGTCTTTCCATGCCAGTCAGGCTGCGATATTAACCATCAAATGTCAACAGATACAACCAGATGAGCAGCAACATGATCAACCAGGCCGCCAGCATGAGGCTTGACGGCATCCCTAACGATGTCGTTACGAATCTGAACCCCTTCTCGCTGCTGATCCTGATCCCGATTTGCGACAAGTTCCTTTACCCGGGGCTGGCCAAGCTCGGCATTCGATTTACTCCCATCAGGAAGATCTCATGCGGATTTCTGTTCGCAGCTCTGTCCATGGTGGTTGCGGCCGTCATCCAGAGTGAGATCTACAAGCAAAGCATTTGCGGCACCAGTGCGTCGAGCCGCAATTGCCGGAAGACACCCCCGGACCTGACGGTGTGGATCCAGACGCCGGCGTACGTCCTCATTGCGCTATCCGAAGTGTTTGCGTCCATCACGGGACTCGAGTACGCCTTCACCAAGGCACCCAAGAACATGCGTGGTCTCGTCACGGGTGTTTTCTGGTTCGTGCACGCCTTCAGCTCTGCCATCGCCCAAGCATTTGTCCTCCTAGCCAAGGATCCGCTCCTCATCTGGCTGTACACGACAATTGCTTGCATCAGCGCTGCTGGCGGCATTGGGTTCTGGCTCAACTTCCGTAAACTCGATGGCGAAGAGGAGCAGCTCAACGCCTTGCCCGAGTCTCACTACAAGGGCCGCGGAGAGTCTTCTGTGGACGAGGAGAAGACTGCTAATACCTAAGTCGCTGGGGGCGAGGACTGGCTAGGAACCGAGGCGTTCTCTGGCATGGTGAATGGGGAGCATGCTGACATTGGTTGGCGGTTTGGTGAGTAGCACCAGGCTGGACTGAATGCTTGCAGATACCAGTCTTGATACCAACTTATTTACTATTTTACCGCGTGAATTCCCTGAGCTCCTGTGGCCTGATTTATCTCCTGACCAAATCGACTGCCCAGATCGGTAGAAATGTCATTGGTGTTGGCCCGGCGTCAGCTTCGGCAGAGAATCCGGGACACGTCTGGCGGAAATCCCGCCTACATACGGATGATTTCAAAGGACAGACAACATTAGCGGCCCGAGCTGGAAGGACAAGCGCACAGGCTGGTAAAGCGCTTGTCCTTGAGGCCACAGCGGGTCTTGCGGAAGACCTTCTGGAAACTTTGTGCCGTTCGCGCCGAGGTCGCGTCGCGTTCGCCTTGCCTTCTCTTTAATTTGCTCCCAGGATAACGAAGGCCGGGCCCAAGACACCGCGGCCAGCTAGCCCCGTTTCAGCGCTCGAGGTCTCCTCTCCGGGCGGCGACGTAGCGCGCACAAACGCCGGCCGCAGCCCAACCGTCCCCCCTCACTCATTGCACACTCTGATGATGGAGAGCGTTCAGACTGCACTGGGGAAGAGGACTAAAACCTACGAGAGAGCCCATAGATGGAGGCCTGGGCCCGCTTGCACTGACGATGCGGGGACCAACTCGAACGGAAGGAGCCGGAGCGGCGCTGTCGAGAGAGGGGCACCTAGCGATGGTGCTGTCGTGCCTAGAGGATCTGTGTAGTCGGTGCGGTGGCTTTCCATAATATTGCCAGGTGCGCCCGCGGCCAGGTTGCCTGGGATTTGGATAGAGGATGGTGATCTCCCTCTCAGGCGAGTGGATTTTCCTTTCTCACACGCTCACACACACTCGTTTACTACGACTACGCGTGCGGTTTGCCGGAAGCCTTCTGGAAAGGATACTTTGGGGGGAAAAGAGTGTGGACGACTTTGGCTCAAGAGCACCGGACGACTTGGACTTGGACAACGCCGCCGTGAAAGGCCTGAGAACAACAAGCGAGGGACCGACTCGATATATACTACGAGAGAAGACACGGCCAGAGGCCACACGGGACACGTGCAGCCGCGGCGCCGCAGAATGGAGGACCGAAGCGTCGAGGTCCTGGCCGTCGCCATCGCCTTTTTCGTCCTCTGCTGGGCTGCTGTGCTTCTGCGCGTGTACTGCAGGGCCTTGGTGCTGCGCTCGCTCGGTGCCGACGACTCCCTGATGGCCGTGAGCTGGGTGAGTACGCCGGGACGAGATGGAGGCAGCGAAGGGACAAAAGAGTATATGTGGTGGTGCGGGAAGCGCCAAGTAAGCCCCTTCCCGCTAACACGAACCCCCATCCGAACCTCCAGGCTGTTTTCACAGGATACTTGATATGCATATTGCTGGCGCTCAAGTTCGGCGCAGGGAAGCACCACGAGGATATCGACCCAGGAAACTACACGACAGCGCTCAAGGTCAGTCAGCGGTCCGAGACAGGGTCCAGAGAGGAGTCCCCCTTTCCCACCCCGCGTCCATCTTCCTGCTGCGCATCTGGGTCAAGACGCTGCACGTCATCGCCACGGCCTACCACTTCCTCCTAGCCTTCCAGTGCGCGCCGGTATCAACTTTCTGGAACGAGAGCCCGCGCGCGCCGGGCCGGTGCCTGGATCAGGGCCTGCTGCTGGCGCTGACGTACGCGGCCTCGGCCGTCAACGCGGCGGCCGACTGGGCCTTTGGCGTGCTGCCCTTCTTCATTGTCTGGTCTCTGTCGCTGCCGCTGCGCACGCGCACGCTAGCCGTGGGCATCCTGTCGCTCGCCGCCGTCGGATCGGCCGCCACCATCGTGCGCGCCGTCTATATCCCGCGCCTGGTGGCGGCCGACGACTTCCTGTGGTCGACGGCCGACGTGGCTCTCTGGTCGACCGTCGAGCCGGGCGTCGGCATCATCGCCGCCTCCATCGCCACCCAGCGCCGCCGACGACTACGACGACGTGTACCCGCCCTATTACCAGCAGGGCGGCCGGCACCAGCAGCAGCACCACTACCACAGCCGGTTCCAGTCCCGGCCCAGCCAGAGCCTCGACGTGCCGCGCTCCCACTTCTCGTCGCCCTCGTCGCCCGAGGAGCGCGGCGCCAACGCCGGGCTCTGGGGCGGCCGCCACTCGCGGCCCCGCGTGCCCACGCTGACGCTGAGCTGGCTGTTCTCGCCGCTCGCCAACCGCATCGCCAACGGCGGTGGCAGTGTTGGCGGCGAGCGGTCGACCATGGGCACCCACGGTGGTGGCTGGCGCCCAGGGGGCGGCGGTAAATCCAGGTTCTGGCTGGACGACGACGGCGACGGCTACGCCCCATCCGAGTGCTCCGAGGCGCCTCGCCTCAACTAGGGCACGCCGCGCATCTCGGCCATCTCCTTTGGCGGCTGGGGCGGCGCCGGCGGGACGGCGCCGCGCAGCGAGGGCGCGGCCAGCCGGAGCAGCGTGGCCGCCGCGGCGGCGATGCGGTCCAAGAGTAGCGCCAGCCAGCGGAGCGGCCGCAGCGCCAGCCTGGGCAGCTTCCGCTCCCGCCCCATGGCCGACTACACGGCGCCCGTGCCGAACCTGCCGCTGCGCTACCTGCGCCAGACCAGGCGCGAGCGGAGCGCGGCCGCCACGGAGCAGGGGGGCGGGGCGGGGGACGGCGGGTACCAACAGGTGGCTGGGTATCCGGCGGCAGATGGTTTGGGCCAGGCGATGCCGATGCCGCCGCCGCCGCCGCCGTTGGCCGCCGTGGGTGGCGCGGCGCTGGGGCGGGATCGCATGACCAGCGGCGCGGGGGGCAGCGACGCCTCGGGGAGCAGCATGGCTACCAGGACCCCGGCCAGGAAGAAGAGGGCGGTGGGGATGGGGCATAACTACATCTAATGAGGAGGGGGGAGGAATGGGCCGGGTGAGACAGACGGAGGATACGTAACGACGTAATGATAATAGGATTCCCCTAAACATCTGTAAACGCTTGATATATCTAGAAATGTGAGCCGTCATACTGAGGCCTATGAATTGCAATCCACCCCATATCTGCCTATTCCTCGATTTTGCACAACTCTTCCCCCTCCTCCTTAGTCTCGCCTCGAGCAGCCAAGCCCGTGGTGGATTGCATCGTCCGGCAGTCAAGCGAAGATAACAACATCCCGTCGCTCGTCACACCGCAAGCCCGGCGCCCATTCCCCACTTGCCTGCTTCCGGCCTGGGCCCCCCGGCAGCGCTCTGACTGGCTGCCCGGAGCTGCTCCCATGCCGCCTGCCGGGCGGGTTGCCGATAAAGCATGCACGGCAGCGGAGCTCCGACGCACGCCTACACGCCTATTATGCAGGGTTAGAACAGCTGGCGCCACTGACCGTCTTGCTGTCTGACTGTCTGACTGTCTCCCGTCAAACACGCACACACACGCCTTCCGGACCCTCAGCGGTGCCCTTGGTGGCGAAAATCTGTGCATGTAAGGAGAACTAGAACCCACACAGTAGCGGGATGGCGTCAGGGCGGTGGGCAGAGTCCACCTCGCTAGGGTATGCACCTAACCTGCCTACCTTACCCACACCGAACAGATTCGTGTTGCGGTCTAGACTGCGTGTAGAACCTTGGCGCGCGTTGCGGAATCCGATATGACATTTGTCTCCTTCTCTCAGAGGTCTCGAGAGGGTGCTTCCACGTTCTCTTGTGCTCGTCCCCAACATCTGGTCTGCGACCCTCCCTCCTCTCACCAAAAACCTCCCACCTAGCGGCCACACAGTCCGCGCCCTTCCCATTCTTTTTCCCCTTTTTTTCCTCGCCCACCATGAAGGCGACCTGCAAAATCCTCAAGCCCCTCGTCCTCTGCCTCGCGGGCGGCGCCGCGGCGGCGGTGGCGGCCCGGCCCAAGATCATAATCGAGAACGACTTTGGCTCAACAGCCTTCACGACGTTCCTGCAGGCGTTCGATGCCGGCTGGGACGTGCTCGGCCTCGTGGGCGACACGGCCAACACGTGGGCGCTGCAGTCGAGCCTGCACGCCCTGGCGCTGCTCGAGCGCGCGGGCCTGTCGTCGTGCGTGCCCGTCCACAAGGGCGCCGACTACCCGCTGCTCAACACCCCCGAGCTGCACCAGCTGTGGCAGGCGCGGCACGGGGCACTCCCATGGGTATTTCTTCCCTCCTCCTCCCCCTCCTCCTCCTCTCCGACCTAGTCATCTTTCCCTGTCGACTAACAAGATCCCCTTGTGAACGCACCAAAAAAGCAAGGCGTCTTCAAGCCAGAAAATGCAACGGCCGAGGCCGCGGGCTGGGACCCGACGTCGGGCGACCCGGGACGCGTGGTGCCCGAGGCCTTCGCCGAGGGCTACCCCAACGGCACGCTGGCGGGCGCGCGGGCGGCCGCCTGGATGGTGGAGCAGGTGCGCCGGCACCCGGGCGAGGTGCTCATCTACAGCGGCGGCGCCCTGACCAACATCGCCCTGGCCGTGCGCATGGACCCCGAGTTCGCGTCGCTGGCCAAGGGGCTGGTCGTCATGGGCGGCTACGTCGACGTGTTTCTGCTGCAGACGAGCGGCGACTCGCTGCAGGCCGATATCAACTCTGATGTAGGTTTCTGTTGCCGATGCTGCCGAGGCGTGTTTTGAGCTAGGGGGTGGTCGGATCTGACTTTGTCGACAGCTCAACCTAAAGATTGATCCCGAAGCGGCCAAGATTGCACTCACTGCCGACTTTCCCAGCATAAGTACGAACTCCCACATCTCAGCGCCCTAAAGGTTTATACTCCAACTAACATCAAGATCAGCCCTCATTGGCAACGGCGCAAACCAGTTTATCCCCTCGCAGGAGTTCAAGGACGAGGTTTTCCAGGTCCAGAATCCCTTTACCCAGCTTTTCCACGACCGGATCGACATAACCCTTCCCCTCTGGGACGAGATTGCGCTGTTTGCGGGTCTGTTCCCTAGCCATGTTCTCAATTCGACCTCGTGTAAGTCCAAGCGCCCTCCTGTCCCCTCAAGGAGATGGGCATGCAGATCTGACACCAAACTCTATTACCTCTAGTCTACGTTGACGTCGACACAGCCTGGTCAAGCCCTTTTTACGGCAACATTATCCCGAAGCAGCCGTCCATGGTTGGAAAGTCACAAAGACTGAAGCGGGTCAAATTTGTCCACTCGGTAAACACCACCGAGTTTCAAGCGCATCTCAAGCACGCGCTGCAGCACCCCAAGACGGGTTGCAACATGTTGGGCCAAGATGTTCAGCGCGTCGATATCCGCGCCGGCGCATGCTCCCTGGTTTCTTTGTTGCCACAAGGCGGAGCAAAAGAGCTCTTTGCTAGATCCATGTGACCCATCAAGGGCATGTACACTTACACAGCTACCTATAATAGTCCTTTATCGTATACCTAATTATTTGCTTAACCAGAAGGAAGTGCACATCCTGTCGCTAACAATCATCTCGCCCACCCAAAACATGTCCAAGCCAAATAAGCAACGTCATGCTGCCCGTCAAGAGCTACTTCAACCACAGTTAAGCCCCGTCTTGTACCGCTAGCGCAGTGCCGAACGATCGCCGCTGGTCTTATCAGTCCGGGATATTGCCCCCATATTCGGCCGGCGCCCATGTCACCCTTTATTCGGTGGCTAATCGGTTATTTGACGCCTTGGCGGCCTGCCCCTCGCGGCATGCCTGCCTTTTGCCAATCAGAAACCACCCCTCGATCAAAGCCCAAGTTGCAGCACGACAGCGTCACCTCACTTACCTGCCATCAAACGACCGGGACCCATTGCCCCAAAATCCAGCAAACCCTCTACGGGGCCGGAGCCGTCCAGATTGGGCCGGATGGAGGACTCCGGCACTTTACGAACGGTTCGGCAATGCAGCCTGCGTTGGTCCGCTCACTGGCACTTTCCTTGCCATGCCCCAGATTGATGTCTGGTAATGCGTCCAAATTACGCCAGCGGCGCCAGTATGGAAGACACCGGGAGGGGAAGGAAGGCCGTTTCGCTAGCAGTGCCCGAGGAAAGTGTGGATAAATCACCCCTTCCGCCATTGATATTGCGTGGCATTCCGGGTCTGGTGCTTGGGGAGATGCTTCTGCTGTTCTGTTTTGTTGCTTCTTCAACCCAAGCCATCGACTAGCAAGATACAGTTCATATACTCACACAGCTGGATAAACGATATCCACACGACGCGTTACCTCTCTCGGCCCTGACAACACACGAGAAGCCGCGGCCATGCATCTCCTGTCCTCGGCCGCACTCGTCTGGCTGCTGGCGCAGGGCGCGGCGGCGCAGAACTGCCAGGCCGTGACGGGCCGGTTCCAGCCAAAGGTCGGGCAGGGCTACAGGGTCAACGCCATCGCGACGGGGCTGCGGTCGCCGCGCCACATCGTCGTCGACACGGCCGGCAACCTGCTGGTGGCCGAGGGCGGGTCCGGGTCCGTGAGGCGACTGGTTCTCACCGAGAACAACGGCAACGTCTGCGTGCAGTCCAGCAGCGCCATCACTTCGGCCCAGACCGTGAGTTTTCTTCTGTGGCTGTGAGACGAGGTAGAGATTTGGGGGCGGGCGTCAAATGGCTAAAAAAAAAAAAATGTTGTTGACCCGACGGCAGACCAACCACGGCATCGCCCTCAGCGCCGACGGCAAGACGCTCTTCACCTCCAACAACAACAACGTCTACGCCTTCCCCTACAACCCGGACACGGGCGCGGTTGGCACGGCCAAGACCATAATCACGGGCATGAACAACGGCGGCACCCACCCGACGCGCGCCATCTTCGCGTCAAAGGCCAGCCCGGACACCATCCTGGTGGCGCGCGGGGCCAACAACAACATCGACACCACGACGGCCCAGCAGTCGACGGGCCGCGGCATCATCAAGAGCTTCAGCATCTCGGCCACGTCGGGCACCGCCGCCCAGTACGCGTCCGGGGGGCAGGTGCTCGCGTGGGGGTTGCGCAACATTGTCGGCATGGGGGAGCATCCCGGGGACGGCGGCGCGGTATGAAGGCGACTCTGATATCTCTTTGAACGCTCTGGGGGAACGGACTTGTGGTAGATGTGCTGACCAGTCAAAACGCAACTCGTCCCAGTGGTCCGTCGAAAACTCGCTGGACGACACCCGCCTTAACGGCCGCGACGTGCACAACGAGAACCCGGCCGAGAAGCTCAACTACCACGGCATGCTCAACAGCACCAATAACCCGCGCAAGGGGCTGAACTTTGGATGTAAGCCTCATCCACCATCCCGAGAACCTTTTTACCGAAAAGAAGAAGAAAAAAAACCACCAGAGAAAGCTAACCTCCAAACACACAAAAGACCCATCCTGCTTCCCCGCCTGGAACACGCAGCTCCTCGCCATCTCGGGCATCAAGGTCGGCGACCTCTTCAACCCGGACGCGGTGCCGCGCGCCACCGACTGCGCCACGCGCGCCACGGGCCGCCTGCACTTCCCCGCGCACACGGCTCCGCTCGACGTCAAGTTCAACGCGAACGGCACCCGCGCCTACGTCGCCTTCCACGGCAGCTGGAACCGCCAGCCCGCCGACGGCTACCGCGTGATGCGCTTCGACTTCAAGGACGGGCAGCCCGTCGAGAGCCCGCAGAGCACCACGGCCTCCATCCCCGTCATGGAGAACACCAACGTCGGCGCCTGCCCCGGCGCGTGCTTCCGCCCCGTCGGGCTGGACTTTGACAAGAAGGGGCGGCTGTTTGTCTCGAGCGACTCGTCGGGCGAGATCTATGTCATCTACAATGCGTAGGCGATGGTGGTTGGTTGGGGGAAATTGCTTGCGGGGGTTACTTTTGCTCTCAGGCAGCATCCATACAATGAATGTATTTTCTACTCAAACTCAAGTCCGGCCAATTGTGGAGCTTACAAGCGGGAGCTGAGCTCGTACCACTCGACCATGCCTGCTATCACTGAGGAGGTTGAAGGACATGCTGCAGGCTGGTCTGGTAAAAGCTGCTGCTTGGTCAGAATGGCCGGAGTCTGTCGTCACGGATGCTAGCTATTATGTAAATGTTGCTGAGTCCGGCTTCGCTACACTTTATATCATACCTAACAAAAAGCAACACGATCTGGATAACCTTAGAAAGACCGTCTTTTTATTGTGTCCCGGCTCGTAAGCTATCCGCTGTTTGTAAGTCCTTCCAGTGAAATGGTAGATCGGAGTCTACCCAGAAATGCGGTGAAATTGTCTGGCAGGCCAAGGATCGTAGCAAATAAGCCCCTAGAACCAGCGGCTCAAGCCTCGTCATTATCCAAGGACACACAGACGGTGAACTTCCTAGCCAATTATGCCATGGAGGATCCAGCAGCCGACACGGGCATCGAGAAAGCAAGCATCCTCAACTCTAGTTGGTATTCGCTCCCTCTTCTACTTTGCATTATTAGTGAGACGAGAGGACAAGATCGGGTGCACTGCCGCCAAGGCTCCATCACGAAAGAAACGGAAGCTGCCATAGAAACTGCACCGTCAGTACTCCCTTCACCGCCATCATGTACCGTATCTCACGTACCGATGGGGTCATCCTGCTGCGCCCCAACTCCCTTCACAGCAACCCAAGAGCCCAGATCGCAGCGGTTAGGGATGACCAGTCCACGCGTCCTGCTGTGCGCAGGTCGCCTGACACACAAGATGCATCCCAGAGTGCGCCAACGTCGTGCTGCTTCGCGATCCTGCCAAAAGTGCAGCAAAGAGAGCCCTATCGGCCCAAAGACGTGCGCCCTGTGGACGCCAACGTGCATGGCGTCTATGCAGCTTATATTTGACAGCAAGAGGGTGTGTCGCGCTGGCGGACGAGGGGACCAGGCGTGTCGATATCCGCGCGCCTTCTCGCGGCAGACCGTTTTCTCCGTTGTCCCGTACGCCTGGCCTCGCTGGTCGATTTGGGAAAAGGATTTTTGGACATCAACACACCTGCCTCAATATGGCTAAATCCTCATGCCAACAGCAAGCGAACCCTGCAGACTGGGACTGGCAGACACTCAAGTGACGTGGCGAAGCCAGGGCCGCAAAGGTGGAGATGCGGCCGTGTATGAGGCTTCCCAGACAGGTTGCACTGCGCATGTGTTGGCGACAAGCAGCAAGAGCCCGTGGGCCACAGTAGACCATTTGTCAGGCTGAGACTATGAAAGCAGCCGCCAACAACCGTAAGATCCGGGCTATAAGCCCGGTGGAAGATGAGCCCGCAGCCACTCCGGCTGGTAGAACTCCAGACGGCGACCAACGCCCCTCACCCACTGGTCAGATGTATCATGTGTCGTGGCTGAACAAGATGGGTGCATCCATCGGCCGCGGGCGGCGACGGGGCCCAGGCTCTGCGAGTTATCCAAGACCCAAGCCCGCCTGACCGCCTTGTGCCCAGTCAATAACATCCAGGAAGGCGACCAAGGAGGGAGTGAAGGCAAATGAATCGCAAGGCGGAGAGAGTCAAGGCACAACAGGCCTTGCTTCCAAGAAGCAATAGTCTGGACGGCCGCATGAAGGCGGCCACCTGCGAGCGGGGTCATGCCCTGCTTCCATGCACCGACGGCCGGTCGAATCGGGGAGCGAGAGCTCTAGAAGACGGGAGTCCAGATGCCGGCGATCTTCCGCCAAGGCAGCCGACAAGGCCGCGACTTGCCGCGCTAGAGAGGGGGCCTGCCGCGCTAGAGACGCAGAATAAGCGCGATGTAGCGCTCGCTTGAGGCGTCTGCTGCGGGCATGTGCAGTCAATATATTGACCGCCATGGCCCAGGGAGGATTCCAGCGTGACATTCCCGCCAACACCTTGCATCTGAGGGTCTTGGTTTTCTGACCATTCGACTGCATGCCCGCAGCCCTCAGTCAAGAAGAAAAAAAAATGGAGTGACCGGGCAGCCAGCTCCGGCGCAAGACCAAATGCAGGTCAATGCAGGTGTGGTAGCACGGCGACTTTGCTTCCTTCACTAGCGCGATGCCGTGTAGCGAAGCTCGACCAAAAATCCTGGTCCCAAGACAAGCGGCCGTCGGACAGCAGGGAAGAAACAGAGCTCGAAAAGACGTGGACGCGGTTACGTTGCAACAAGCTTGCACCTCCCACCCTTCGGCCAGTGCGGTCACGCTGTTAAGCGCCGGGTCCCCACAAGAGGGGCTCACACGCGATTGGGCCGAGGGCCCCCCTTGCCAGTGGCTCACGTGGGGAGAACGAGCTCGGACCTTCCCGGAGACGCCAAGCATTGAACGGCCCCGCAAGAATGGAGGAGAAAAAACGCTGGCTGGGGCTGTTCAGCATAACTTTTTATGCTGCCGTCGGAGAAGGCGACGAGGCGGCTGAATCGACTCGGAGAAAAGCAGCCCACAGGCGAAAGTCAATCTCAGAATTCGCTGGGCTTAAATCCATTGCCGAGTTTTGCTCGAGCTCTGCGGCAAAGCTTAACTCCTTTAATTCGGTCCCCAGTCATGAGCGAGACGGGCAGGAATCCGGCTCTGCCGCAAGGCTGTGGTGTTCGCCCCCTGCGCGCCCGCTCTCGTCGGGTCCTGATGATGGCCCGAGGCCGGCCAAGATGGACGACCGAGTCCGTCCGGCTCCTCTCTCTCTCATCAACTCGGCGCGGGCGGAGTTGAGTGCCGAAACATTCGTATTGCGTCAATCCCCTCCCCCCTGCGCCCAGCGCCGCGACAGCCCTGCGGCATTGGGGGAACCCCTCCTACCTTGGAATGTGTCGCCCAGAGCAAACTTGTTTGAAGGGACTTTGGCGATCATCAGGATCAGCGCGCACGCGGGGGTGAAGGGGCAGAAGGAGAAAAAATGGGGTGGAATATTGTAGCCTGCGAAGATGAAACAGTCACGACACGGACCGCCGATCGAAACGAAACATTCTGTGGAGAACGAGGGGGAAAGGCCCAGCCACAGCAGCAGCTTTGAACTTGCACTTTGCAGAATGACGCCTAGTTTCCCGACAGAATGGGAGCTGTTGGTCGCGCACGAAACATCAGCAGGAGGCTGACATCTCGTGTCGTCGGCAGAGCCAAGAAGCCTCCGTGGTCGTGATAAAGCTCGATTGAATTTTCCCGGTTACCCTTGAAACCGGCCCATGGAGCCGGATCTTCTGACCGGGCTGGCTGCTTGCTGTCAACCTGGCATTGTTCATAAATACGAGACGAGGGGGAAAACCAACAGCGAGTCGGCAGCAAGCGGGTCTCTGGCCTACGAGGGCTCCATATCCGATCCTCCGCACTGACACCGCCGCGACGCCCTCTAATTTCCCTCTGATGTGAACTTTGTCTTTGTTTGCGCCTCAACTGACGGGGGGCAACAGCACATGCCTGACCGACCGTCGGACCCAGGTCCCAACAGTCTGGTTAGATTAACTGGCAGGGGAACAAGAAGCAGAAGCAGGGCGCAGAATTTGGGATCGGGGATTACGACAGGCAGGATGCGAGCTGGCGATGGGCGCACGTAAGCACCACCCCCAAAGTTGGTCAACTTTGTCAACGGCTCCCGCTCACACAAATCTGGCATTTTGGCTATTTTAGGTGCCAATCTTGGGGGTATTCAAATGAATCGGGGTTGGGGATGTTGGTCAGCAACGGTAGCGGTCTTGGACGAGCCAGTGAGCAGTGAGCACCGGACTGCGCCGTCGATGTGACGGATCCCCCGCCTTCCCTTTGGGCAAGACTCGATCGACTCCATCTAGATCCGCGCATTTCCCGGCTGCATGGAAAGCGGAGCGGCGCATGCCACAGCCTCAACTCTCATTGTCTTGGTCGTAAATATTTATTTTTACTACGGCCAACGTTGCTGTCAACGTGCAGCGGCTCTAACGACATCCGAATCATCCATGCATGGCAGTCGTCGGCATTCCTTGGTTTTACCTTCTCCGTTGTTCTCGAGGCGCCTAGAACGGAGCCCTTGTTCGAACGTTGGTGATCGGCACGGGGCAAGATTTACGTCGCCATGAGGGAGGTGCATATCGATATGGCACGCCAACCATCAGTGTTTCTCTGCACCCAAGCGATGCCCATGAGACATCCCACCACCCGCACCATCTGGAAGCGATCCGAGACATTCACCTGAGACAGTGGCAACCCATGTGTCGACATGAACGACATCGCTGCGGCAGTCATCACCAACCAGAAAAGAGGGGATCAAGTGCTACCGTCGCACTTTGATTGCAGACCGGCACCCTGCCATGGGCGGCCTATTGTCGCTTTTACGTACCTGAATATCAGTCCCCACATACCGACGCGACGCCGTGGAAACGGCCCTGCCAGGCACAGCAGAAAGGCAACGACGGCGAGGTTTCCGCGGGGAGCCAGACCTCGAGGGAGCCTGGGTTGCATTTTCAGGGGTCGCGCTTTTGCCGCTTTCAGTGGGAGAAATGGAAGCCCGTGCGAGAGCCGACAAACAATCAGGCTGAGGGGCCAGCACTAAGGAGCCAATGCCCTGCAGGAAAAAAAAAACACCCCTACAAACAAATCGAGCAAGGCAGGAAACAGATGAGGTCTGTGCCATTAATTGCGAGCGTGGACCGAGCATGGCGCATGTGGGAGAAACGGAGGCCGACGGAAACGGTGCCGGGCATGGAAGCAGGCGAGCAGACGAGAGACGCAGCCGCCCTAATCCAATGTCACAGGGAGAAATCAAGCATACGCATCTATTCCCAATTACACCCAGCCAATATTTACGATCCTGGGTACCATCGGTGCGGCGCAAACCCCATATCGGGCATCCAAGAACACAGCGAATCTGGCCAATGTCTCCTCCCCGTGGCGCCGTCGTAATTAGGGTGGTCGGGAGAAGGACGTTCCAGCGACTCTAGCCATTCAGCAGTCAGACGGGATGGCGAGGAGAGTGTGTGGCACCCGGCCAACCCAGAGGTGCAGCCATCCATCAGAGGTGGGTGGCCCATCCGCCGGGCCGTTCTAAATTTGCCCGCTGGAAGAGCCCGCAAAGTACCAACGGCCGGTCGCCTTACCAGATATCCCGCGGGCTCTGGCAGCGGTCATGTTAGTGTGGAACAAGGTCGGTCGATGGTGGACATGCTGCATGCAGCTTCCTTGGTCAGAATATCGTGGTGGGGAGGGGCCGACTACGCCGAATCGGGCAGGCAGGGCTAGCCGGGGACCATTCTAAGTGGAAAAGAGGTCAGCGAGCAGCAGAGGAGAGGCTCGGCTGCGGCTTTGAGCGGAGGTTTCTGCAGGCCTGCATCTGACGGGAGATTTTTGCGAGGGCGGCGACTTGGGAGCATTCCTTGGCCCGCAGCAGAAGCAGACCAAGCCAGGGTCTGGTGGATGGGCGCAGCAGATGCGTCCGCATCGCAGGGCACTTGCCGCTTGCAGCTGTCGCGCTTGCGCGTAGACGATTTACACCGTTGGACGGCACCGAATTTTACGAAAGGCTCACACGCCCGGGCTGCGCTTCTGGCACCAGCCTCGCAGAAATCCTTAGCGTGCGGCTTACAGCATTTCGATCAGCAGTCAACCCCGCCGTCATCGTCATCTCGCGCAAACAGGACACACTTGACCCCTCTTCAGACAGGAATTTTCTGTCCCTCATCCGGCTGGACCCAGGTGGGCTGCTGGGGAATCAAGGTGACGGTCCAGCGGGGGAGTAGCGCTGTGCGCCGTTCGGCACCGCTGGGGATCGCGGAATGTGGGTCACCACAGTCGTTGCTATAAATTTGGATCACTGTGGGTGCCTTTTCGGCGCTGTCCCCGCGGCGGCGCCTACCAACCCGAATGTGGCCCGTAAACCCGTAAACACGTCAAAGACCCGATATTCGAGCGGCCGACCGCTTCGCCGGCAAGGGAGCCATGGAAAAATCAAGTTCGCTATTAGCAAAAAGAAAGGATGCACTGCAGCACCAGGCAGACAGCTGCCACCCATACGGATCGCACAAAGCTGGTAGCCGCGATAAGCTAGAGCTGCAGCCAAGCACGCTACGGTCTTGTCCTGGCGGCGTTTTTTCCCCTTCTTTTTCTTTTCTCGCTCTCGGTTTCTTGTTTGCGACCGTCGCGGCTGCTTCAATTCATGCCCCTCCGTTTTTGCGCTTGCGCCCGCAGACAAGCGTCGGGCTGGCACCGGCGGGACCCACAAGATCTCGCTTGTCGCTGCAATGGACGCCTAATTTTGCTGTGCCGTTTTCTTGGATGGGAGGGGCAGGCAGGGACCCCAGCCGCTCCCGACCGCACCTGGCCTTCCCAGGATTCCCCTCTAGCACCACCCTTGCTCAAAATTTAGACGAGAAAGTCTTGACTGCCACTAGGGGTAGCCCGGACCATATTGCAGCCAAGCCGTCCGGGGGTAGGGTGGCCGTGGTGGGTGTTTGCTACGACAGATGCCGCCGCCAGGACCGACCTGCACTAACAGCGCTCGCAGGCGCGCACACAGCCTTCTGCCTCTGCCCTCCTTGTGATTCTTCTGTCTCTTTGCGTCTCCCCCTCACGACGGCGGGTCCCTGTCCTCGCTTCTCCGGAGTCCCGTCCTCGGTCAATGGCTACCACGAGGGGCACGAGTGGAGGTGGGTGACCACGCCCAGGCAAGTTCCCGCCCACGGCGCTCACATGGCAGATTACAACGGCCGTCTTTGGCGGCCACCCTCCCGCTCCACCATCCTGCTGTCCTCTCTCTCCTCGTCTGATTCTAAAGAAAGAGAGCGAGGCGGGCGAGACAGGCGCCTCTCACATACGCCGTTACGAGGGGAGGTGAGCATGCGCCTGGGAATGGGGGATGGATGATTTCTCGGCTGCGCCCTCATGCTGGGCTCCCACTGGGCCTCTCCATCATCGCGGCTCTCCTTTCCCTCGAAACAAGCGTCACCCCTCGGCCGTGACCGAGCATTCTCTCCGTGTTTCTACCCAAGCTTGTTCTTTGAGCCTCGTCCCGTTTTCCACTTTTTGCAGGCTGCCTTTGCAGCCATCATCCATCCTACAGACGGGCAAGGGGGTCTGCGCAAGCACCGTTTCCCGAACACAAGGCAAGGGCGGCCCTTATTCTGGCTGCATCCGTCCTTGGACCTGGGTCAACACCGCACCCCTCCGTTCTCTGTTCTCCACCGCATCCCCTTCCCTTGCAACCCCAACGGTCCCTGCAACAGACCCGTAAACATTTCGATTCCCCTGCAAACAAACCTCTCAGTCACGCAGGGGTGTCTGAGCGTGGAGACTAAGCTCTGGATGACACCCCCCCTTGAGCGGGCCTGGCTGCGCACCACGCCGCTCACAGACGGGGACTTGCCTCCTACCCTGCTCACCACAAGCACCACCCCGGCCTAGCTCAGATCCTCGCGTGTCTTGATGGTGGTGAGCTAAAGATATAAACCTCTTCCACCCCTCCACCGATAGCACGTTCAACATCCTTCTCCTCATCCCTATCTACTTGAGCCTTAAAGAGACTTCTCGTCCCGACATTTCCTTTCATCCATTTCCTTTCCATACTTGGGTCTTCACTTCATCCAAGCTCCGAGAGCACCTTGCCAACTACAACCACTATATTCGCACATCTTGCATCTATACTGCATCGCGAGCGTCGCCAGACCGACACTCCCACGGATCCGACTATTTGAGCCAACATTTCACACATACCCATCATCATGCTTTCAAGGACCCTCTTCGCCGCCCTCGTGGCCATCGTTTCGGCCTCGCCCTGCCGTCCTCCCCCCAGCAGCAAGCCCACTCTCCCCAGCACTGGCAGTAAGTCTTGCGCCCACAAACCCCAGTGCCTGGCCTATATCAGAAGCCATTGACTAACAGCTCCCCTTTGTAGCCATTGACCTGCCCGCACCGAACCCCAGCGGCACCCTCAAGGCCATTGCAGTCGGCCACGGCATCCAGAACTACACCTGCGCCAACGGAGTTGCCACCGCCACCGCCGCTGGTGCTCTTGCTGTCCTTTACGACGTCACCCCGTTCTACCCGGGGGGACTCAACGGCCTGTCCAATGAGGGCTTTAACAGCCTGACCACTGCCGTCCTCTGGACCCAGGACGTGCCCCTGAACCTCGTTGACCCGGCCGCCGCCAAGCCCGGCACGCCCGACGCGCCCAACAAGGGCATGCCCCCTTCGGCCTACGGTGCCGCCGCGGGCAACCCCTTCCGTGCTGCCGCGGACATCACGCTCGGCGAGGAGATGCCGCCGCTCAAGTTCCTGGGCCACCACTATTTCGACGCCGCCGGCGCGCCCACCTTTGACCTCTCGACCCGCAACATGCGCTTCTCCGTCGGCCTCAAGGAGTCGGTCAACCAGCCGGCCGAGTCGGACAAGGGCATCCTGGGCACCGGCGCCGTCAAGTGGCTGCTGCTTAACGACAACGGCAAGGGCCAGAGCACCCTGGGCTCCAACAGCCAGGTCTACCGCGTCATCACCGCCGGCGGCGTCGCCCAGGCGTGCAGCACCGAGGGCGCCGTCCCCAAGGGCAGCGTGCCATACACCGCCTTCTACTGGTTCTACGGCTAAATGCGCTCGCGCTTATTAGCTTACGACAACGCTACATACAACCAGAGATGGGCCCTACACACCTAATGGGGGCGGTGGCTTCTTGGCCTCATTGACCCCTTTTCGACGTCACTCGCTTCATGGCTATTAATACGCATACATGCATGCGTGGTCATACCCTGTTCTACTACTTCTCTTCTTCTTTGGATTAAACATAAGCTGCAAAGCCAGTGGTTTCTTCTTTACACTTTTTTTAACACCTTTTATGTTTTGTTTACATATGACGTGCGGATATACCCACCCATGGCATTTGGGATGAGGACTCTTGTCGCATTTTTGGATTGGTTTTTGGCTCTTTTGGTCAGATGGAGGGGTTTCTGGTTTCGATTTTGCATACGACGTCAGGGACAATTTTACCTAGGCAGAACAAAATAAAATGAATGCCGAGTCGTCTTGAAAAAAAAGGGGACAGTCAAGCTTTCGTGATGTGCGGGGATCATGACCGAGGGCGACTCAGCCGAAACCAGGCACGCCGCCGATGCCACATGCCACAAGTCAGTCGCCTGCACAAGGGCCCCCAAGTAGGTTCGTCTGATCCGTGGTGCCGCCTCAGGGGCCGATACAGGCGGAGGGATGGAGGCTGAGTTTGGCGAGGTGTGATGGAGAGGGTGCTGGTTACTTCCCCCGAGGATCGTTGGCTGCTTGCTGCGCAGGCCGAGCGTCGGGCACTCGTCGAAGTGGTTCTAATTGTGTAGCTCCCACCAGATCCCTCTCGCTTCCAAACATCAATGTGATTTGAGAAAGCTTGCGATGCTGGGTTGTCGACAGTGCATATGTAACTTTTCTCTTTCTCTCCCTTTTTTTTTCTTGCGCACCCAAGTTAATTGTAGTAACACCACAGGCCTACACCCGCCCCATTCCCTTTTTGGCGCATCTGCCTTCAACGGCAACTTGAGTGGCGCGCGTCCAAATCGCGACTCTCAATGTCGCCAAGAATATAACTTCATGCCTCTGGGACTGTTTGGCCGCCCGCTGCAGATCTTACGTTCTTCGCCAGCCTGGGTGAACGGATTCCGAGCATCGTTCCTCACCCGGATCGTCGGTACATCAATAGGGCTTCCAAGCAGTCGCGCCCTTCCGTGCCGTCGAATCTTACCAGAGTGAGAGAGAGTTCGCACCTCTGCGCACTCTGTTAGGTTTATGAATTCGGTGCATTTTATCTTTTGTTCTTGCAAATGTGGTTCCTCTTGGTTCACTCGAGTTCCGAGTTTCCCGTTGCGCCGGTGACGTGGGTGGGCCGAGGCTGAAATTGACAATCACGCCGCTTATCAGGCTGGAACTCAGGGCGCTGGATTACAAATGGCTCGAGAAAAATAAGCGATGACTGGTTCATTTCATCACGGGCTGACGGGACCCTTCGTTGCAGGAAGCCAAATGGTATCAACTGTTGCTAAACGTAACTATCACGTCCCATCACCTTACGCGATCGTCCCAGACACAAACTCTCGGGCCCTTTTACAGGACGAGAGCGACGACGGCGGCCGCGAAGCCAACGCCGGCCAGGTTGCGGCCAGCGGCGGCGGGAGTCCCCGTGGTACCGGGGGCACCGGTGGTGGTGGGGACCCTGGTTGCGGCGCCGGCTAGCGAGGTGGCGCCAGCGAGGCCGGCCGTGGCGGCGGAGCTGGCCTTGGTGACGATCGAGCTGAAGGTGTCGCCGCCCTTCTCGCCCGCGACGAGGCCGCAGATCTGGGGCATGAGAGTGGTTGTCTCTGCAGTGGCGCAAGTACAAGGTTAGCTGCGTGGCGGCAGAGGATGGTCTATAAACAGATTTGGAAGGTTCAAGACGTACTGGCAACATCGTCCAAGGTGCAGCCGGAGGTGATGCAACCAGTGGCCTTGCTCGTCATGTCGATGAGCTTGCCGCACTGGCACTTGTAGTCGGCGGCATCGCAGCCGACCTCCTTGGCAGCCGTGACCAGGCACTTCATCGCGCAGCTGGGGACCTGGGCAGCAAGCTCGGCGATGGTGGCGGCGGAGCTGACAGCCACAAGGGCGGAGAGGACGAGGGTGGTGAAGAAGCGCATCGTGGTGGCGAGGTGTGGGGTTTTAGGTAAAAAGCATGTAAGTGAGTGAATAGGCCGAGGACAACCAGTGTCGAGCGAGTTTGAACTGAGGTATGAAGCGAAAGTGGTTTGGGTAATGGAGAACGATAGGGGGGGACGGTTCGAAAAGCAAAGGGCGGCCGGGAGAGCTTTTTATCGACAAAGCATGACGGTGTTTCGTTTTGGCGAGCAGCAGAGATGGGTTCCCTCCTGTTCTGGCTGTGATAGGAATCCAGGGGTAACACAGACCAGCATGGTAAGACACGGACGCCCCCAGACGAGCCGAGTGGAAAACCTTGGCCAAAGTCGCATCGTCAGGAATTCAGGGGTCTGGCTGGCGTTGGCTGTGGGATTCAAACGGAATTGGGATCCGCCTCGCGTATCCACCCGCTCATTTTTCAGGGACGCGGACCTCCAATGTCGCCATGATCCCTCCGCCTGTGGCTTGAGCTTGGGGTGGCTCAGCCCACGGAGCTCACGGTTACCTAAGCAGATTCTAGGGTCCAACTGGCTGCCTGGCGCAGACCGCCCGGCAGCCAGCTGGGTGTGGGTCCCGGTGCCAGATTTCCTACGTCCAGCGTCATGCAGGCACAGGAGAACTTTAAGCCACGACGACCAAACGCGCCAAACTTTGGAAATCGCATCCATTTAATAGACCCTAGCCCCAACGACGATCCTCGCCATTCTACGGCCACCACCAACAGCAGTCTGCACAGACACGACACTGATGCATCCGCAGGCGAATTGAATCGGTTCTGCGCAGGCCCCATGCCGGTTCATTCTCCATTGTAAGGACACCTTGCCTGCGCCCACCGCCCAAGTTCGTGCTGGTGGCGGGCGCAAACCGCAGAATCATGAGGCTTGATGATTGGCTTCGATATGGCCTCCATTGATATACGAGTTGCCGTCCTGTTGATCTAACCCTCGCCCTCGGCAGGCTGTCTTCTCCCCGGGTCTCATGATCGCCGTGCCCCTGTCCACGTCACCACTCCGGCTCGCATAAAATGGAAAAAGGCTCCAATAGCTCCCATGGCATCCCGCTGCTTCCCCTGAGCCGTCCCGACCTGCCGACCATCAGCGGCGATGACGAACGAGAGGCCTCGCGTTCCAGGCCACCGAACCATGCGCGCACGACCTCTGCCCAGTCGAGGATTGTCGCCGACGAGTACTCGTTCCTATCCCCGGCCGAGACCGCCGCCCGCCTCAGAACTTCGCTTACTCATGGCCTGACCCCCAACGAGGCTATAACGCGCATCCACGAACATGGCCCCAACGAGATCCCCCACGAGGCCCCCGAGCCGCTATGGCTACGATTCATCGGCCAGTTTAAGGAGCCGTTAATTTTGATGCTGCTGGTCTCGGCCGCAGCGTCCGTATTCCTTGGAAACACCGATGATGCCATCAGCATCACCGTCGCCGTCACTATTGTCGTCACCGTCGGCTTTGTGCAGGAATACCGGTCCGAGAAATCGATCGAGGCTCTAAGCCACCTGGTCCCAGACCATGCCCATTTGATACGAACTCAGATGCCCAAAACTCCCACCACGGGGCGCCCGGCGAACTGGCCTGTGGATGCCGGCAGCAGTGGTGATCAGTCTCCTTCGGGTGCCACCACCCCCGGTGAAGCAGCCATGGAAGCCAGCTCGGCCAAGGTCATGGCCTCGCAGCTGGTTCCGGGCGATCTGGTCATGTTCACAACAGGCGATCGCATCCCTGCCGACATTCGTGTGACCAAGGCCATAGATCTGACCATTGATGCATCGAACCTCACCGGCGAGAACGAGCCCGAGAGACTCACGGCCGCCGCCCGCTCGCGAGACCAGCGCCCGCTCACCCCCTTTGGAGGCACTAGCCTGCAGCTTCCTAGCCCGTCCTTCGAGACTAAGAGTCAGGCGGGCGAGGACGCTTCTCAGGCGCCCAAGAATGTTGCTTACATGGGCACTCTGGTCAGGTCTGGACACGGCCAGGGAATCGTCTTTGCCACTGGAGGAAACACGCATTTTGGAACCATCTCGCTGAGCGTCTCGGGGACCGAGAGCCCTCGGTCCCCTCTGCAACTCTCCATGGACGACCTAGGCGGGCAGCTGAGCAAATTTTCTTTCGTTGTGATCGGTCTCATCTCCCTCATCGGATTTTTCCAGGGAAAGAAGCTGCTCGAAATCTTCACCATCTCGATCTCTCTCGCCGTCGCCGCCATCCCTGAAGGCCTGCCTATCATTGTCACCGTAACGCTTGCTCTTGGTGTCCATCGCATGGCTAAGCGCAATGCGATTGTCAGGAAAATGCCCAAGGTGGAAACTCTCGGCTCCGTAAACGTTGTGTGCACGGACAAGACAGGTCAGTTTGGAAGCGGCTACTCACACTTCGAACCCAGGGCATACTGACCTAGCCCCTTTAGGCACTCTCACCATGAACCACATGACTACAACCAAGATGTGGTACTTTGGCCAGCCTAGTTCTGTCAGCGTTGACTCAGATGACGAGTTCACCGAGGCGAAGCCAGATGCTGCGACTTTGAGAATTCTGCGCATCGGGAATATCGCCAACAATGCTCGCCTTGCGCACCAGTATACCGAAAATGGCGCAGCTGCGAGGGCAGTGCTCACGTCGACTCTCGGTAAGGGCGAGATGAGCTCTTCCTACACGCGCTGGGTAGGGCAGCCGACGGACATTGCGATGCTGGACCTCCTGGATCGATTCAAGGAGCATGACGTCAGGGGATCGGTTGGACAGCGAGCCACCGAGACCCCTTTCAGCTCTGAGAGGAAGTGGATGGGCGTCACTATCGCGGCCGAGGGTGGCAAGAGTGATAAGGAATTCGCGTATATCAAAGGCGCCATCGACAGGATCCTGGCGAGCTGCGACACCTACATTACCGGTGAAGGTCGCGAGTTCGTCCTTGACTCGAACCGTCGGCAAGAGGCCCTGCAAGCTGCTGATAAGATGGCGGCCCAGGGACTCCGTGTTCTGGCTTTTGCGAGCGGCCCTGTCAGCAGATCTACGAAAGGCAAGGCTGCGATTTCGTCCACTCGGAGTAGCACTCCGGCGGGTGACAAGTCGGATGACTGGCACCCGGCGACCAACGAGGAATCATACACCGGCCTCACTTTTGCTGGTCTCGTCGGCATGAGCGACCCTCCTCGGCCTGGAGTCGGACGCTCGATTAGGAAATTGATGCGCGGCGGGGTCAAGGTTATCATGATTACAGGCGATGCCGAGACAACAGCAGTTGCTATCGGTCGTCAACTGGGGATGCAGATCGCGACGCCCCGCGAGCACACGGATAATCAGGTCAGCGTGCGACCCGTGCTCCGCGGCGACGAGGTGGATGCCATGTCGGAAGAGGAGCTGGCGCAAGCGATGCAGACGACTACTGTGTTTGCGCGGACCAACCCAGACCACAAGATGAAAATTATTAGGGCACTCCAGATGCGTGGTGACATCGTGGCCATGACGGGCGACGGTGTCAACGACGCGCCGGCGCTCAAGAAAGCTGATATCGGGATTGCCATGGGGCGACACGGTACCGACGTGGCCAAGGAGGCGGCTGACATGATCCTTACCGACGACGACTTCTCCACCATCCTCCACGCCATCGAGGAGGGCAAGGGAATTTTCAACAACATCCAGAACTTCCTCACGTTCCAGCTGAGCACCAGCGCAGCTGGCCTGTCCCTCGTCCTGATCTGCACGGCCCTCGGATTCAAATCGCCGCTCAACGCGATGCAGATCTTGTGGATTAGTGAGTGAACTACCTTCTGTGCAGATGTTTTGGGCCCATTGCTAACGATTATCCCCAATAGACATCATTATGGACGGTCCTCCTGCGCAGTCGCTGGGTGTCGAGGCGGTGGACAAGGACGTTATGAATCGGCCACCGCGCAAGCGCAACGACCCGGTCCTGACGCGGTCGCTCGTCATGCGAGTGGCACAGTCGGCGGCCATCATCATGATTGGAACGATGCTCGTGTACACGCGCGAGATGCTCGACGACGGCAAGGTGACACGGCGCGATACGACCATGACGTTCACGTGCTTCGTGCTCTTCGACATGTTCAACGCGCTCTCGTGTCGGTCCGAGTCCAAGTCGGTGCTCAGGGGCGAGATCGGGCTGTTCCGCAACTCCCTCTTCAACTGGGCTGTGTCGCTCAGTCTGGCGGGCCAGCTGCTTGTCATCTACTTCCCCTGGCTTCAGGAGGTGTTCCAGACCGAGGCGTTGGGTTTTATGGACCTCCTGTGGCTCATCGTGCTCTGTAGCAGCGTCTTCTGGGCCGACGAGTTGCGCAAGTGGCTCAAGTACGGCCGCAGGAGGTTAGGCAGCAACTACAGTCATGCCGTGTAAAACAAAAAAGAAATATAGAGAGACGGGCACATGTACCATTAGCGCAGAGTATAATGGAAGCGTTGTTGTAACGAGGATACACTTCACGAATTTCCCCTTGTGGTATATGTTTCTACTTGCTCTGGTACGCGAAGTGAAATGATCCGTTCAGCACCGCTTTGGTGTCCCCAGGACGACTGACACTAGCTGAGATGCCGGGCACTATGCACTATGTCGCAGCCTGCATGCTTGCGTCTCTAGCTAGGCGTAGCCTGCCTAATAGACGAACCTCATTGATGCCTACGAGAATGAGGCGGTGCTTGCGCTACCCTACTAACACCGAAGACCAATCGCTCACGCCCACACCACTCGGGCACGGTGGCATTGCCCCCCTCTCCCATACACCCTTGGCAAGGCGGTACTTGTTGGCTGGCTTGGCCCTTTGAAATTGTCCCAGGGCCCTGAACCTCATCCGCCTTCAATCTCGACATCATCAAACGACTGGCATTCCGACAGGCTCTCCCAATCCCCTCGTATTCTCTTCCTCGTCAGCGCACACGACCATTCTCTCTAATAGAAACGACTTCTTCGAGCTGGCCATGGCCAGTTGCTCCGGGGGGTCTCCATCGGAGATTCCTTCGGAAGGCTTGACTGTTCTAAGGGTGCCCGACACTCAGCCATCGGTAGAGTACGTTTCGTGAGAGGGACGAGTGTTTCTAGTCGAGCATATATACTGACCGATGTGAGTGTTTCGCCAACAGCATTGTTTTCGTACACGGCTTCACAGGCCACCCATACCTCACATGGCGCAAATGCGGGGTCCAGGGCGCACAAGTCGACGCCGAGGATGGCGCTGAACCCCCGAGGAAGCTCGCCAGGTTTCTACAGCGCTCCTCAGCCCGCGAGACCTCCTCCGTCTACTGGCCTACGGACCTGCTACCCAGCACCATCCCGGATGCCCGGATCATGACATATGGGTACGACACTCATATTCGGCACCAGGTCTTCGGCCCTCGCGCCAGCCAGAACACAATCTACGACATCGCTGGAGATTTTCTGGTAGCACTCGAGGCAGAAAGGCGCGGCGCCACACACAGGCCCCTGATCTTTATCGCGCACAGCCTGGGCGGCATCGTCGTGAAGGAGATGCTGAGACGATCTCAGGGTTGTCATTCACACGACCATCTGCGGCAGGCCACGTCTGCGACCATCGGCGTCGTCTTTTTCGGAACACCGCACTCCGGCGCCGATCCTCGAGGCCTCTTACTACACGCCACGGAGCGTCTTGCCCGCACTCTTGGCGTCACGGTGAGCCAGGCAGTCGTCGACACCCTCCTGCCCAGCTCTGAACGGTTGCGAGAGCTTAGAGACGACTTTCCCATAATAGCGCAGAGGAAAGGGTGGGCTATCCATTCCTTTCAAGAGCAACATGTTGTGCGTTTGCTTGGTAAAAAGGTTAGTACATCCTGGAAGACAATTATATGAACATGCCCAAATATCTGACTATCTTGACCTTGACTTCCACAGGTTGTAGAAGATACATCATCCTCTCTCCACTCGCCGATTGAAATCACCCAACACATCGCAAACGATCACATGGACATGTGCCGATTCTCAGGGCTCCTCGATGTGGAGTATCGGAAAGTCGCAGCGGCCCTACAACGCCTCGTCCAGTGTGCCGGGGCAGCAGAAAGGGCGCAGTGCGGAGTGCTAGGTCCAGCACTGCCAGGCACCCACGCCCAGAAATGCAAAGATGCTCTTGAATCCCTAGCCTTTGAGCATATGGGTGATCGCCAGATGGGCATCAAGCGCGCTCATCGGAAAACCTGCAAGTGGTTTCTCACTGTACCGGAATACATCGACTGGCAGGGCGAAGCGAAGATGACCGAGAGCAACGGGGTGCTCTGGATCAAGGGAAAGGCCGGCACCGGGAAATCGACCCTCATGAAATACCTGCTCGAGGGAGCGAAGAAAGGACTGGGTGGAAGCAGAGTTGTGTCCTTCTTCTTCCACGCTCGCGGTGACGAACTAGAGAAGTCAACGGTCGGCATGTATCGCCACCTCATCATCCAGATACTCCAGGAGATGAACGAGAACGATCTCGCAGTCATCTGGAAACGCTTCATCGAGGATTCTGGGCTCGGAGACCCGGCCGCATCCCCACACTGGACAGTTGATCTCCTAAAAGATCTTTTCCGAGCGGCCGTCCTCGCCCCCGGCCATCGGCTAACTTGCTTTGTCGATGCGCTCGACGAGTGCGACGAAAGCGAGATTAGAGATATGTTAGGCTTCTTCGCCGAGCTCGGAGAGTTGTCACTGTCGCAGGGAGCTCCCTTCCGGGCCTGCTTCTCAAGTCGGCACTACCCACACATCACAGTCGATAAGTGCCTCGAACTCAACCTCGACGTTCAAAGCGGACACGAGCGCGATATCGTCAGCTACCTCGAGAGCGACCTCAATATTGGGAAAAACAAGACCGCGAAAGAAGTCCGAGCCGAAATGCTGAAGAGCGCATCGGGAATCTTCATGTGGGCGGTGCTTGTCACGCAGATCCTGAACCGGGAATTCGATCGCGGAAATATCCATGCCCTCAAGAAAAAGCTCAAGGAGATCCCCAAGGACCTACACACCCTGTTCGAGAGCATTCTTACCCGAGATGAGGACAACAAGGCCCAGCTTTTGCTGTGCATCCAGTGGACACTCTACGCGAGGCGGCCACTAGCCCCTGAGGAGCTCTACTTTGCCATAGTGCCGTATGACTCGGAGCCTGGTGAGGTCGCTATCCGCCACCAGCCTTGGGACTCGGAAGAGATCACTCGAGACCATATGCAGAGGTTCATCGTCAGCTCCTCAAAGGGCCTTGTCGAGGTCACGTCGACGAAGAAGTCGACCGTGCAATTCATCCACGAGTCCATCCGCGACTACCTCTTCAAGGGGGGCTTGGAAAAGGTCTGGTCAGATCTCAAGGGAGACTTTGGCTCGATCAGCCACGACGCTCTCAAGGACGGCTGCCTCAGCTACATTCGACAGGGAACATTTGACGTCGTGCCAGAAAGCTCATCAGCTGTGCATCCAGACGCTCTGTCTACTGCGCTTGATACCCCTTTCGACCTCGAGGCCCTGCCCGATGCCCCCCTCGACACCGGCCCTGGCCCGGGACCCCTCGCCAAGACTGAGAACGGAGCCGAAAAATCAAAAGACGCCCGGGCTCGCGGGCGTCGGCTATGCAGAACATTCCCGTTCCTTCAATACGCGCTGCAAAACGTCATATATCACTCCGACCGTGCGCAGCAGGGCGGTATATGCCAGCTCCAATTCCTCCAAGACTTCCCCAAGCATCGATGGGTCGAGCTGGACAACGCAATTGCGATGTACGGGTTGCGTAAACACACGAAGAACGTGTCCTTGATATATCTACTGGCTGAGCAAGACGCCGCGAGCCTCATCAAGGCTTCCCCCGACCCACTCCCGTACCGGCACTATACAAGAAAGTCGATCGGCCAAGAGCGGTACGGTGCTCCCTTGGTTGCGGCTATTGCGCATGGATCACATGAGGCAATCGGGCAGCTACTATTGTCGGATGCCGACCTATCTGGATTTGTTGGAGCTGGTTTCGTTGATGATACCTCCGCCCAGGCCACCAAGGGCCGCCAGAATCTTCAGCTCAAATGGGAACGGGAGCACTCCATGGCGTATTATCTCTGCGTATATGGCTACGCTCCTTTTCTTAAGCACCTGGCGTTGGCGGCTACCAAAACAATGCAACAGGGAGCGCTCAGCGTTGATGTCGTGAAAAGTCATCTACTGGGGGTGGATATGCTCAGATATATCGGGGAGTGGTACACCTTTGATGCTGAAAAAGCGAAACCAGCAATTTCGAGCGGCGCATGCCAGATTCCATGGTATGCCCAACACTTTCGCAGAGCCATAGCGAACTCATTCCTCCAAGGTGACCTCTCTTGCCTCAAGGACGGACTCGACCATGGCGACGACCCTTCGATTCTGGCGGGCGGCCACATTTGGGACTGGACCTACATCAGCAATTGGGAGGACAAGCTTACCCAAAACCCTCCTGGATTACGTCAGAACCTTCGATTGCTTGCCGATGCGGGCTACGATGTTAATGTGCTCTTGGACGAGCTAGTCTGGCGGCAAGTTGACGTCTCCATCCCGTCGTTCCTTCTCGAGCGATGGGCCGACCTTCACATCTGGGCAGCCGCCGGCCTTGGTGATATGGATGAGGTCATCAAGCTTCTCGACAAAGGGCTCGACGTCAACGCCCGCGATCATTTTGGCCGTCCAGCACTGTGGTATGCGGTTCGCAACAACCACGAAGATCTGCTCGAAACTCTTCTCGCTGGACGAGGAGCGGACCCAAATCTGGTCGACTTGAAAGGGTTCACATTGCTTCACCATATGGCCGATTGCAAGGGGCAAATGGCTATTCCACTCGCCAAACTTATCAAGTATGGGGTCAACGTCAACGCAAAAAGCACAAACGGAGGTACTCCTTTGCACGTCCACAACAACCGGGAAATTTGCGCCCTCCTTATCCAGCATGGCGCCGACGTCAACGCGAAGAACACAAACGGAGATGCTCCTTTGCACGTCCACAAAAACCAGAAAATGTGTGCTCTTTTTCTCCAACATAGCGCCGATGTCAACGCGAAAAACACAAACGGAGATACTCCTTTGCACGTCCACGAAAACCAGGAAATCTGCGCCCTCCTTATCCAACATGGTGCCGACGTCAACGCGAAGGATGAAGACAAGAAAACTCCTTTGCACGTCCACAAAAACCAGGAAATCTGCGCCCTCCTTATCCAGCATGGCGCCGACGTCAACGCGAAGGATAACGAAGGTAGAACTCCATTACATCGGCACGATAACCCAGAAATCCTGAAACTCCTATGCAAGAATGGTGCCGACCTCGAAGCTCGGGATGATGAGGGGTATACACCACTATTGAACCACCTGGTGGGCTACGGAAACGTGAATGCGGTTGAGGCCCTTCTCAAGCAAGGAGCAAGTAAGTACGCGAGAAGCAAGAATGGCAAAACGGCGTGGCAATTACTCCCAAATGGGTGGTTGAGCAGTGCGAGAATACTTGAGCTATTGGGGCCAGAGCCATGAGTAATTTATTGCATCCTAGGTAGAGGGTAGTCTGAGGAATCCAGGGGTCACAGTCTGGCGAGCTTGCATGTAAAATGTCGCAAAATGTCATGGTGGTGAAGCTCCGGCTCAAAATTGGTGGGATCAATTAGGTGGCTAGATCCCCGCCAAGGACACAAGATCAAATAGAAGCAAGGAGAGGCGACGAGGACGACAAGGCGCCGCTCCGGACAGCAGGCGAGTGCTAAAGGATTCGGCATGCGCGGACAGATCGCAAGACGACGCGAATGCCTGCCACCACCAATGGCCGCCGGTTATTGGCAGCAACCGACGGCTCGAAACAGCGACCCGCTGCGGCTCCGTCAGACCTCAAGCTGCCACACCGACCGCCGCACCCCTCCACGGCCATGAAGAACCCAGCCGCAGACCTCGCCGGCCCCCTCGACGATGCCTCGACCACGGCCCACGTGCGCAGGGCGCTCGAAGCCCTGCACGCCCGCGAGCAGGCCCTGACGACGCGCCTCGACGGCCTCGTCACGTCGCACGCCGACCTCGGCCGCGACCTGCTGCGGCTCGACAACCTCCGGGCCACCCTCGGCGCGCAGGTGATTGCGTCGCGCGCCGTGTCCAACACCATGCTGGCGGGCGCCGCCGACACGGCCGCGCGGCTGTCGGGCCGCGTGCGCGAGCTGGACCTCGAGAAGGCGCGGGTGCAGGCGACGCTGCGCGTGGTCGAGCAGGTGGCCGAGCTCAAGGCCTGCGTGGCCGGCGTGGTCGGCAGCATGGGCGCCCCGCAGGACTGGGAGGCCGCGGCCGGCTACCTCTCGCGCGCCGCCGCGATCCCGCCCGCCATCCTGCACTGCGGCTTCGCGCGCGCCGTGGTGCCGACCGTCGAGACGCCCGACAGCCCCGCCGCCACGCTCGAGTCGGCGCGCGAGAGCCTGTGCGGGCTGTTCCTGCGCGAGTTCGACCGGGCCGCCGCCGACGCCGACGGCGCCCGCGTCACGCGCTTCTTCAAGCTCTTCCCCCTCATCGGCCGCGGCGACGTCGGGCTCGACGTCTACGGCCGCTACGTGTGCCAGGGCGTGGCCGGCACGGCCCGCCAGACGCTGCGCGACGGGCCCCCCGCCGCCACCACGCCCGGCGGCGGCGGCGGCGGCGGCACCACCACGGCCGGATTCTTCTACGCCCAGGCGCTCACGCAGCTGTTTGAGCACATCGCCCGCATCGTCGACGGCCACGGCGCCCTGGTCGAGCGCCACTACGGTGACGGCAAGATGGTGCGCGTCATCGAGCGCCTGCAGGTCGAGGTCGACGTCCAGGGCGGCATCGTGCTCGACTCTTGGAGCGACGAGCGCGCCGTCGACAGGAAGCTGACCGACGTCAAGAGCTACCCCTTTTCCTTCCTCGTCCAGAGCTTCCTGCCCCAGCAGAAGGGCGGCTTCGGCGGCACCCCGCGCGTCAACTCGCCCGCCGGCGGCGCCGGCACCAACAGCAACCCGCGCGCCAGCGAGGACGAGGGCGTCAACATGAAGGAGGTGGACGGCCTGCTGGCGGAAATCGCCGACATGCTGGGCAAGTGGTCGCTGTATACCCGCTTCCTCGCCGCAAAGTGCAAGGTAAGTGTTGTTGGCTCTATCCCTCTGTTTGTTTCTACATGACAGCATGGCTCTAACAACCTGCTACTTCCCATCTAGGAACCCGAAACCCCCGACGACTCCCCTCTAGTCATCCCACCAGTCATCAAAAACTCCAACCTGCACCGCAAGGTCAACACAAAGCTCACGGCCCCCTACAACGTCATGTCGACCTTCTACTTCCGCCGGTCGGTCGAAAAGGCCTTCCAGCTCGACGAGTCGCCCAGCGGCCTCACGCTCAGCATCGGCAAGCCCGTGGACGGCAACCCGCCCTACATCATATCGGCCGTCGACGACGTCATGTACATCGTCAACACGGTTCTGCAGCGGTCCATGTCCACCTCGCAGATCGAGGTGGTCAGCTCCGTCATCCCCACGGTCGGGCGCGTGCTCGGGTCCGACTTCATAGGCATGATCCAGCGCCGCATGCGCGACGACACCTTCCCGAGCGCCACGGTCAAGGGCGGCTTCCCGCCCGAGGACAAGATCGTCGGCTTCGTCGTGCTGACAAACAGCCTCGACATGGCCAAGGAGTACCTCTCCCGTATCATCACCAGCCGCGCCGGCCCGTCGGACGAGGAGCTGGCCAAGCTCTCATCCCCGCCCAACGGCGGGCCGCCCCCACGACCGCCGCCCGGCACGCCTCGCGACCTGTTCCCGCTGGGCCGCGACGCCGCCGCCGTGGCGCGCGAGCTGCGCGTGCTCGAGGCCAACTTCCTCGCCAAGGCCAGCGACCTGCTGCGCGAAGGGGTCGAGGCCCTGGGCGTGCACGTCGTCCGCCCGCGGCTGCGGCCCATGCTGGCCGAGACGTTCCGCCACGCCGACTACGGCCTGACCGAGGCCGACGTGGCCGAGCTGGCGGGCCGCAACGACGAGGACGAGGCCGACGTGCTCGAGCGCCTCGAGCAGGCCGGCCGCGTCTTCGAGCACCGCTGGGACGCGCTCGTGCAGCCGCTCGCCCGCCTCATGACCCCGCGCACCCACGCCGCCCTGGTGGACGCCGCCGCCTCCCACCTGGCGGGCGTGCTGGAGCGCCGCGTCTGGGCCGCGGCGGGGCGCGTCAGCGGCTTCGGCGCCGTGCGCATGGAGCGCGACTTCTCGGCCATCGTCAGCGCCGTCGCGCGCGGCAACTACGCCCTCCGCGAGAAGTTCGCCCGCGTCAGCCAGATCCTCATGGTGGCAAACATGGAGGACGACGAGTGGGACGAGCTCGTGGCCGAGGAGGAAGAGGAGGACGGGGACGGCGGCATGAACTGGGTGCTCGCGGAGGAGGAGAGGAGGCGGGCGAGGAACATCGTCAGCTCGTAGGGTACACACATCCGGCTATCGTTATAGAGACTTGGGGCTTTCTAGACGAGGCTAGAGTTTTGGAAGCATTTGGGAGGTTACAGGCAGTGTGGAGTTTATGGGGAAAAGAAGGAGCTGTTTGCGATACAAAGACGCCGCTTACAGACTAAAAGTAGCACTAGATAACGACACTTGATGAACAGGACATCGGCTCAGAGGATCATGAACTATAATCTATCCCTTTTTTGCGACTCTGTAGCATCTCCCAGGCCTTAGACTCGTCCCAATGTCCAGCCTTATTAGGTCCAGTCTCCAACCCAGCCAAGCGACCACGCTCTCACAATAACACAACCACAACACACGCCAAGTCTTGCAGCACAACAAAAGCCCAGGAAAGCGCCCGATGACCGGAACCGCCGAGAGTGCAGACCAGGGAGGACCCGGCCAGCCGGGCTTGCGCGTGCACCCAACATGACACACGATATCGCCCGTTTCTAATGTCTGACGGCGTACCCCGCACCGTGGCCGGGCGGGCTGTGCAAAGCGCACGCGAGCTTTTCAGGCCGCGTGTGCGCTCTGTCTTTCTCGAGGTCACCAGACTCTCTCTTCGCTTCATTGCTTTTCATTGACCTTCAAATATTCAAAAATCAGAGATTCAGCTTATTCGCTCCGCCTACACAATGCAGCCCATACGAGAGTCGTTCAACATCTCGGACTGGGAGGACGACAAGCAGTTCCTCAGGTGCTGGCGCCACCAGGACTGCGGTGCCTGTCTTGTAGAGGACGGTTGCAGCTGGTGTCCATTCGTACGTGTCTACCGTCTATCCATCCATCTCTCCATTACACCGACGCTCGTCCTACGCCACACCAAATGTGCGACATAGGACACAGTCGGCTAACGTAGCCGCCCAGTCGTGGACATGCACATCAAACACCTACTCTATTCCACTCCTCGCGCCGGCCTACGACGACAAAATCTGCCCGCACTGGGCCGAGCGGTGGGAAATCCGGACGCGGCCGCTGGGCTGCCAGGTGTCCACCATCACGACCCTGACTGGTGCCGTCAGCATCGCGTCGACCTTGATCATCGTCGGCATCATCTTCTTCGCCTTCTGGCTGATCCGCAAGATGCGCGAGCTACGCCGCTGGCGGCGCGAGTGGGCACGCGAGAGAGCTCTCCGCCGCGAGTTACGTGCAGCCAGGCTGGGCCGGCGCGTTGTGTTCAGGGCCGAGCGGTCAGAGGAAGACCCTCTCCTCGGCATATGATATCGTGCTGTGTATACCGACATATAGCCAAGATAGAAACGGTAGAACAAAGTCAAGGGAGCCGGTCCCCTCTCATCCAGAGCTGACAGGAGGTATGATTGCGACCTCGTCCCCTTCCGAGATGATGAGTTGCTCAGCCTCGGCGACACCGTCAACCGGCATGTCTACGTAGTCGAGGTTGATCGTGACGAGGCACGAGTCCAACACCTTGGACTTGATCCCGCAGTAGCGCTCTTCCAACGTGGAAAAGAGCTTGCCCAGCGGCAACGGCGCCGGCAGCGACTCGAACTCCTTGGAGGTGTACGAGCTGGCGCTGGCAAAGTAAAGCACATTGAAATGGCCGCGCGGCGGACGCGGGACAGTCGTCATGATCGCGACTGGGCAACGCGCGGGTCTGCAGCAAATCTGATGGAATGTCGAGTTAGCAGCTGATCGACGGTGCCGCCATGTCCATGTGAAAAGAAAGAGTTGAGGTGAGGTTGCTCAGAGATCTCGGTGAAAAATTGTTACATCAATGTAGTTCAGGTAATACATGCTGTTTTTTTCTTCATCATTCAACCTGTAGGAAGCAAAAGCAGTAGAATAAATATCGCACATACCTTTGCAGCTGGTGAGTCGCGCAGTCTCTTCCCCAAGCGCGAGGTGAGAACGGAAGTTGAGAGGTTGAGGTCGGAGAAGAAAATTTTGTCGGAAAATTTGCAGCTTTAAATTTCGAGCTTGGTGATGCCCACAGCAGATGGGGTCCACGTGATTCGCTCCACGCCGCACAGTGTGTAACCCGCACCTGCCTAACTTCGGCTCCAGAGTGCAGACCACGCCTCGGCCACATGTCGACGAGCAATGTCAGATCTGGAAGGGAAGGGAATTAGTAGCATGGCTCCTAGCCTTAGGTTCTTTCGCTGGTTATTATAGATGTCCATAACCAAAGAACCTGATTCCGCGGCTCTGTAGTATCTCGGTAGTAGAATCAGATCTTTGCCTGGCCGATGCGGGTGAAGACGCCGAAAAAGGGTTGATTAATTCAGTTGTCAACCCTAGATCTGCAAAGCAGAATGCCCAAGCCTTGACGCCCCTCTCTCTAACACGAAAGATTAGAAAGCAGCAAATGCCTTCGCCGTTTTCCATGAATCCAATTCCCTGCTGCCTAGGGAAGCTTCGCGCGCGTGCGTGCCATATTTCTTTTCGTCGTCGCCGACTCCCATCACCACCGTTCCTCCTTCTTATCTCAGCCTGCGGGCCTCACGCTCAGACTCGAGGAGCACCAAGATGTCGTCGACGCGAACTGTGCAGGGAAGCGTGGTTAGCCAGGTGCCCATGGCGTCGGACGGTGGTACTTTCGTTTCGATCTGCGAGGGGCGGGCCGTCGTGGGCGGCGAGAGTTGGGTTCGGCTGTTGTGCTGCGTCCTAGGAATCTCGACGGGAGGGTGCTGTTATTTACCTGGGCCCTTGACGTTGCGGATAATGCTACGGGTCTGGTCGTCCATGAACTCGACGCGGACCTGGGTCACACCACCACGGGAGCCTGGAAATGTAATCAGCAATCGCTTCTCCTTCTCTGCGCCCCCAGTCTCTTCTTCTCATGGGAGTCGTGGATCGTACCGGTGCGGCCGAGAACCCGGGTGACCTTGACGAGCTTGACTGGCTGCTTGGTGGAATCCATATTGACGAACTGCGGCGGGCCTCGATGTCAGTTTTCGGTCGGGACAGCGGACAGGAAGCTGCACGAAAATCGGGAGGGCCCTACATCGACTTTCGAGTGCGTGAGGTGTGTGTTGGTGATTTCTGGAGACGTCGACGCCGGGCAAGAGAGGTGGGAAACAAACAGAAGGATATGCCAAATGACGGGCTTTTTTCTTCCCACGCTTTTTCTTTTTCGAACTTGGATTTGTGTGGGAGCGAAGGAGGGGACAATCCGACGGGGCTGCTGATTGGCTGCTCAGTCTCTGTCGCAAACCCACCCACCAGCACAAGCCACATGCACCTGCGGGACCAGGCGGCGGGGCCAGCTGCTGGGCACCGATTTAGCAGACAGGGGTTTGGAGCTCTGGTCAATGGGATCGATGTTGATCAGCAAACAGCGGGCACTTGACGCCAGCCCCAAGTTGAGACAAACGAGCGGCGTCCAACAACAAACATACTCCAAGACATACAAGCCGACTACCTACCTGTGCGTTTATCCGTCGGTGGTTTCTGGGCCGCCAATCACAGCTACGTTACTGTTGGCTGCTTCATCGTCCGTCGGCCGTTGCTCCTGCTAGGGAGCGGGCATCCTATCTCACCTACACCATGGCTCTGAACCGCAAATACTCGGCGCTGCCCGACCTCGACACGGCCCCCGACATTTACGAAACCCCCGATTTAACCGACGACAACTCGACGGTCCCTGTGAGACTAACCCCTCCAGTCCCCATTTTGCTTGTTGCTGGCAAAACTAACTCCTCGGTAGACAGGCACCGTCAAATCCCAATCGGACGAGGAGGACGACGATGGCCACGATGCGGCGGAGGGAGTCCTGAGATCCCGGCTAAGAGTTTCCGAGGCCCGCTCCATATTTACCCCCGCCAACGTCGATGCGCGAGACGTCGACTTCTCCGACCGGGTTAGCGGCAAGAGGAAGTCATACAAAGTCTCGACGCGTCGTCACCGCACTCTGGAAGACGGCACGTTGGAGCTGGGAGACTTGAGCGATGACGACGACGATGACGCCGGCAACCTCGCGCGCAAGATCGCCCGCCTGAAGCGCGAGGTTGAGGAGGCCAGGGCCGAATACGCTAAGCAGCAAGCCACTTCACCCAACCCCACCGCAGACGGCACCTCCCCAGAGGCCGACATCGACTCTCTAAGCCGCGCGCTTGAGAGCATTTCGGGCCTTTCGAGTAGGCAGGGGCCCGTGTTCAGGTCCGCGCCCGTGCCAGAGCCTCAGCCCGCCGCAGATGACTCAAGCACTAAGCTCCCGCCTGCCACGGGCGGGGCGACCTACACCGTGACGTATGCGCCCACATACCAACAGAGCCATGCACTGGCCAAGGCCGCCGATTTCGATAAGCGACTCCTCCTTCTCGAGAAGTCCCTAGGAATCGGCTCATCGGCGGCACCAGAGCTAGACGCGGGGGGTCTGCCACGGGCGGTGCTGCCGATGCTGGAGACTCTCGACAAGCAAGTCGGTGCCCTAGCATCGGCCACGCCAGTGTCGCTCGACACGCTTACGAGGAGGGTGAGGGCACTCAACCAGGAGGCCGCGTCTGTGGAGAAGAGCCGCGACACTCTCGAGGCCGCGCGCGAGATGGTGCTCGTCCCGATGGTGCACACGGGTGGCACCGCAACGTCGGCGGCCGAGGCCGAGGCGGCGCAGCGGGCACGCGCCGTCGCGAGCAACTTGAGCGAGTACGAGGCCAAGATCAGCGCGCTGTACGGAACTCTCCCCACCATCGAGAACCTCGCGCCGCTGCTGCCCCCGCTGCTGGACCGGTTGCGGTCTCTCCGAGCGATCCACGCGGATGCGGCGGCTGCCGGCGATACGCTGGACCGTATCGAGCGGAGCCAGGCGGAGGCGGCTGCCGAAATCAAGCAGTGGCGCGAGGGACTGGAGAAGGTCGAGGCGGCCATGCGAGAGGGAGAGGCATCAATGGAGGGCAACGCAAAGGCCATGGAGGGATGGGTCAAGGAGCTAGAGCAGAGGGTTGCGAAGCTGTCATGATGCATATGTAGTCTGTTCGTTTTGCTCGATACCCCTTTTATCTCTGGGCGACATTACTCGCTGCCTCTTGGAGAGAGATCTTAGTAGATCTGTTAAATAAAGCAATATTACGAAGCGCAGTGCTTGATTTCAGTCGCGAAAATCAACAGGATAGATACCACAGTATCGCATATCGCAACATTCGTAACCAAATACCACATCGTCGAGGCTAGGTACTTCGTCTGATGCTTTCTTCGCTCGCCAGACACTCGATGGTCAAGGCCCACAATTAACCTCCAGCATTCTGCCAATCAAACGCGTTGATTTGAGACACGGTCAGACCAATCCGCTGGGTGTTTAGGTCGTCATGGCTGAAGCCGGCCTCGGTTTCTCTCGGACCAGGCATCATCGTTCATCCTGTCTTCTCTCAAGTGGTCTCCGACCCCCATCACAGCCGTTTGTGAACAGCTCGCCAATTTTGTTACGCTCATTTGATTGATTTTCTTATTATATCCCTGCATTCGTCGTTGTGGGGCCATCGCGTCACCACCCTCGGGCCACACCAGCGCTGGACGCCGAACGCACGCATACTGGCTTCGCTCAACCGCACCTTCCTGCTGAGGATTATTGAGCGCCTAGGTATCGCCTACGCAAGGGCGTCGGGTCTATTCACCCATACAGGCTCCTATTGAAGGCCTTCCTGAATATCAGGTCACGTGCGAACACATCAGATGTCGCATCGCCTCGCTGCATAGCGCCCTCAATCTCGAGGCGACGGGTTTCTCGCCCAACTCATGCGATTAGGCGCGCCCGTTCGAGGACACACATTGAACTTTGCCGGCGCCCTCTTCCCACCAAACAACGCGCCCATTCTCCTTCTCATCTTTAAATTCTCATATGCCGCCACTTTCCCGCCACGGCGTAAACCAACTCCTCAGCATGGTTAATGGGCGACCTCGGAGGTCGGCGGCGAGACCTCCTCTCGGGGATGAGCCATCGTCGTCGCCGATAAGGGCGTCTCCCGAGGAGGAGCCATCGTCACCAACTGCGCAGCCTGTTGATGATGAGGCCCTCATCAATGCGCCGCCTGAGTCTTCCTCCGACGAGGACAACGACGACGCGAGCCGCTCCGTCTCTACCAAAGGGGATATCAAGGGCTCGCTTTTTAGCTCACAGAAGCCGAGGCCTCGAAAAGAGCAACAGGCGAGCAGCACTACGAGCGCCGCAGAAACCACAAGCGCCAAAGCACGGAGCGAACAAGGGTTGCGAAAGAGCCCAGAGAGAGCATCCCGTCGCTTGTCTTCCAAAGCCAAAAACGATCAGAAGGCCGGAGTTGACGTGTCTGACGACGAGATTGATGCTGTGGATCAACCCACAAAGAGGCCAGAAAAAAGCAGGACCAAGTCGGAATTAGGTGCCCACCTTGAGGCACAAATATTTGTCAGGTCCTCCAAGAAATACACAGCGCCGAGGAGTATGTTTGAACCTTCCGCCTAAACAATCAACATATCTGTACACAGACGCAAGTCGAGTTTGGAGAGCTAACACCGGATCACACAGCAAAACAACCCCAAGCCAAGAAGAGACCGGGCGGCGATGAGGAGCCACCGCGCAAGCCGAAAGTGAGGCCACCCAAAAGGCCAAACGGCTCGGTCGTGGATGCGGCCGCGGGTCCCGCAACCAAAAGGCCCCGGTTTATCATGCCAGTCGACAGCGAGGCCCCAGACACTCCCGCTGGTACTCGATTCAAGGCATTTGACTCGGTAATCAGTCCGCCTTCTGGTGACAGCAAAAAGCCGTCCTTCAAGGGGAGACCCGTAACAGATTCGCCGTTACGAGGTGGCGCGAAGTTCAAGATGCTAGATCTCGACACTGAGGACGACAAGAGCCCAACCAGCCGCCAAAAAGAGCCCCTGGCTAAGAGTCGGGGTCGAGCCCTATCGGTGTCCAGCTCGTCTTCATCACTCACTGAGCTCGAGTCCGTGCAGTCGGATGGACCCGATCTGTGTCCTATGTGTGACGCCCCCATCGACGCTGACCTCCTCGACGGACTCACAGCAATCACGATGAGCATAGCGAAGCAGCAGAAGATATGTCAGCTGCACAAACGGCGTGAGGCAAATGCGCAATGGAAGGAGAAGGGATACCCGACCATCGACTGGGATTTGCTAGAGAGCCGGTTCGAGCGGCAGCACGACCACCTGGACAAGGTTCTCAGGGCGGAAGTGGACTCTCACTACCGCGACGTGTACTCGCGCAGGGTCGATTCGGGCAAGGGCCGGACGCTGCTGACGTCGGAAAAGGAGGCCGGGGGCAGCCTGACACCGGGCTACTACGGCTTTCGTGGGGCGCGGCTGATGTCGGAGTGGCTAATCCGCCGCTTCTCAGCATCGCTGAGGAAGAGGGCGGTCAAGGACCGCCTTGTGGCGGCGCGCGGCCACACGACGTACGTGCAATCGGTGCTGGTTCCCGAGCTCGCGGCTCGGCTCGTTGCGGAGGATCTGAAAATCAAGCCCGAGGCCGCGCGGGACGTGCTCCGCGAAAGCGCCCGGCTCGGTGAGCTTGTTCACGAGGAGTTGAGGGACGTTGTCCGGAACGAGCCGAGCGATGGCGAAGATGGCTTTTAGACGAGGCGGGAGATGTATGGGCGAGGTGGAACTCGACACTACTGGCATTCGAGGTTTATTATCTCTATGATACCTGTGCATTGCCCTCCCTTTTCTTCACCCCGAGAGTCTATGTGGAACTGGAACGAGCGTTTGCCCCTCTCTTGGGGATTCTTCCGCGCCTTCACACTGCCACATCCATGAACATACCTGGCTTATTGCTCACTGGCCAAGGCTACTAGCGAGACACAAGGACTACTATCTGTCTCCTGATCTAGGTAGCTTTTACGCGACGAACGATTCGACTCTTGCGTGGTGGTTTATCAATGTCCCAAGAAGCTAATAGCACGCGACCAACGAGAGGACGAAAGCCCCTGTCAGGGGTCTAGGCCCTCTGTCCCCCTCAGCGACCAACAGGGGGTGACCCCTTTCCTCGCCCCGAACTGCTGTCGCAGGAACTTTTGTCAGCCTTTTCAGACGCATGCCTCCCACACGTGGGGAGAGGCTGTGTTCGGGTATGGAAACCCCATATTCCCTCGAGCACGGACCAGACCAAGCCTCACTTCCTTTTCACACTAACCAACACCTCTTCTGACTCTGGTAGCCGTCAGCCTGCCGAAATACTGCCACTCCTTGATGCCGCACGACCTTCAGATGGGCGATCTCTGTGCATTTTGTAACCTATTCGGGAAGCCCTGCGGCCGCCAAAATGCCGGCTTACCGATCATCGCTGCGTGTAACTCGCCCCGGGTGATCGGTAGGTGACTGCCGAGCGGACTGTAACAGGAGATCAAGTCTCCCACCCCTGCGAGCAAAACACCCATTGCGTCGGCTTTTGGGACAAGGAACCCCACCCCTTATTGTTTTTCTCCCCTCCGTTTTCTCTTCATTGTCCTCTCCCCCTGTAGGGATTTTGTTTATATCAGAGAGTCTCTTATCAAACATGGGTGCTCCCGCACTCCGCCAATGTCATTGTCAACACCGTAGTACCCACGACTTCCCGTTGCCGGGTTGGTCTGCCGATCACGGTCCGCGAGGCCGAGACCGCACCCTAGCGGCGACTCGAGCGCTGGGGTGAAAAAGGGAGGGAGGGGGAAAGGAGGATGAGCATGGGGCATGGACATGCAAAACGTGCCCCGAAAGGATGGCGGCAGTGGGAGATGTGACAGATGCCGTGTCACCGCGGCTGGTGCGATGGTCCAACATTGATGATGCCCATTCCCATCACCTGCATGCCTGCGCGTATTATTCCCTCAAATCACTATTTTTTTCTTTCTTTTTTGTCTTGGTGCACTTTCCTTTTATTTTTTCGCACATCTGATTGGCCCCCACATCATCATGTCGGCCTTTTTCCCATTTGGTTGACCGAACACGAACGTCAGCCAAGCAGGCCACTAGGAGTAGCGCACAGCTGAAAGAGACAGGGGAGAATGCGGCTCCCTTTTTGGGGGCAGACAAGGCATTGTTATCGATGCATGCAAAACGGTCGGACCCCATGAGCAACGCCAAGAAACCTCCAGCGAACTCTGTGCTGTCACAGGCATGGGCTTTGTCAACACCCGTGCTCCCTCGCCTCTGCCACGAGTAATTCTGCAGCGGTGGGACGCCGTCGCGCGGAACAGGGCGGGCGCACTGATCGCGGGCTGGACAGCGGCTCTTGGCGCGCCAGTTCCCCGACTTTTGTTCCCGCGAAAAGCTGGGGTTCGTTACAGGCTGTTCGGCTGGCCCGTGCTTTTTGGCGACGGCCCCGGCCATGGCTAATGGTCTAGCCGGCTTGATTTGGAAAGCTTGGTTTTCCTGCCCGGGTGATGTGGGAGATGCGCTCGGTGCTCCCGGGACGCTCACCGCGACGTTTATCGGGAGCAACAGCACCAGGCAGGCCGGTAAAATGTCCACGTAACGAGGGCATCTTGTTTCCTGTGCACCCGTCGGTAGCCGAGAGTGCGCGTTATGATCGTTGGCCAAAATATGTTGAGAGCGGCCCCGCCTATCTCGGCAATCATCCACCCTTGGCTTGGTACCGAGATAGGCGCCCCTCCTCGCTCATTGGGGGCTTATCAGACATTGCGAGTCCGGTGGGATGGATAGCTGGCATAATGTCTCTGACCTCCGTCTCCAGCATCCGGACCCTGGCACGTGTTGGAAGCAGCGGCTCTTGGCCGTCCTGTTTGATGACATGACGCACAGCATCCAGGATGGGCTAGCCCAACCTCCAAAAAAAAATCCGCACACGTTATATTTTTCCCCACCCAAACTCTATAGAAAAAAACATCAAGAGAAAATCAAATTCAATTGATCGCAATGCCT